GGATCAAATCCCATCTCATCAGACCAAACAATTTTACAACAATAGATGAATTTTAAATTTATCCAGACACAAGTGAAAAATTTTTTTTCAAACATAAGAGTGGAAGATATAGATTTTAAAATAAGATTTTAATATGGGGAAAGGAAAGAGAGAGAGAAAGAGGGAGAAATATATATATATGTCTATATAGTGATCACTTAGATGCCATGCTAATTCCCATATATACATTTCCTTTACCATCACATGATCTACTTATTCAAAAAGATATCACCTGTGTTTACTCTCTGGGGATCTGTGTTCCAACTCCAGTGTCAGCAGTGGCATTTTATTCCTCTGTAGCATTTTCCAAAAATTCCTCAATATCAATGTAAGATCATTTCCAGTATCCACCTATTTGAGTAAAGTTACACTATTTCCTTACTTTTATCCTGTGCTTTTATCTCAATTATTTCCATACTTTCAATCAGAGGATCTATATTTTCCACTTTTATCACTCACTTTTCATATATGCATACTGTCTGGTAATGATTCCTCTTTTTACACTTAAAATACCATTTCCCAAAAGCCAGACACTTATTTTTGCTCTTTTCATGTTACTTATTGCAATAACTGCATACAAGTAAGCTTTTAGTAACACTGTAAGTCTCCATGCCGCCTTCAGAGGCATTAAATTTTTGAATCAATTCTAATTGTTGTAAGAACTCCTCACATGCTTCCAGATTCATATTAATGTATGGGATGTCAAATATTCCTTCAATCAGTCTTAGTAAAATTAGCTTGTCTTTGGCAGACATTTGTTCTGAACCCATTTTTTCAAACTCACAGTATCTTGACATTTCTTTCAATTGCTGTACATATTGCATAATAGTTTCATCCAGTCTCAGTCTACTTTCAAAAAATATCTTTCTTTCCACTATGATCAATCTCTTTTTTGGTTGTATATTTGCTTTTATGATGGCAGCAATTTCTTCATATGCTAAATCTTTCAACACTTTGGGATAGATCATGGAGGACATTTTTTATTATGGTCTCACACTCCACTGAGGCCAAAAACAAATCCATAACTTCATTTTCTCCTCCATTAGCTTTACTCTCACTGACACTGCAAAACACCTAAGCCAGGTTTCTATATATTCCGGATCTTCCATCATGGTTAAGTAACCAATCAGCGACGCCATATTGTTATGATAGATATTCTCTCTGACAGATATAGTCTTGTCAAGAGAAGATAACTCTCCTGTCTTTTATACAGTACCTTATTTACATATCACTACATTCAACATAAAGGAAAAAACAAGTGTGATTCTTATGAATTATTTATTTTGAAAATAGATGTAGCTTAGATGTGGAATTAAAATATAAAATGTACTGAGTGCTCATTGCCAAAGTCAACAGTGCTTAAATATAATAATCTTATTTATGCAATATCAAAATCTCCTACTCAGATGAAACACTGAGTAAGCAAATTTTTAATATTATTGTATTAATAATATTATTGGATTTATATATACATATCTATATATAAAATTCTGTAACTTCCATAAGTCTGTCTGTCTGTCACACTCTCTAAAATAGTTATACATTGACTGATCAAAACCAAATTTTGGGGAGAATTGCAAACAGATTTAATGATTAAAATAACAAATACTTATTTAATAAAAATGCAATATTTTTTTGCATATCTTTTCTTTAAGTTTTTATATACAAGAATCCAGTTTCAAGTTCACCCTGCGTTTGTGAGAACTATAAACAAACCACAAATGCTTCAGAAACATAGTAATTTGGCTACAGAAAGAAATATGTACATATAGTCAGTTGTATGTTGCATGCTCAAGAGTAAGAAATATTAATAATTTATTCTTCACTGTTAAAAAGGAAAAAAAGAAATTTTCTTAAAAAATATTGTTTACGATGAAGTTTAGATGCTGGAAAGTATGAGGCACTCATTGAGTGGTTCTCATGAATTGTAACAATGATGATATGAGGGTCAGTCAAAATTCTGTTCTGGTTGAGTAATTTATGAATTGTGGTATTTTAAAAATTATATTAAATTAATGTGTCTCTGAAGCTATGAATTATTATATTCTCTTACAAAACCTGCTGAAAGACGAGAAAGGAAATCATGGAAAAATGTTGTAGCTGTTTTTTAATTTTATTTAAGTCTTTTCATATGTATCTCAGTCTGTTAACATTTACTGTATATACTTGCAAATAGGTCGCACTTTTTTAAACAAAAATTTCACAAAATATTAGAGGTGTGACCTATCCGTCTGACATAAATGTAAAACAACTCTACCTGGTCATCATAATTTCTGAGAAATCAGAAATGAGACCCATAAACACTAAAGCTGTGGATTCAGTTCTGAATGAATTTTAAAACTGTAACTTGATATATAAATAGATAAACACTTTTTTCTAAATGTACCTGGCTGTAACATTTTCTTCTGTAGTTATTTCTTCTTTTTTTTTTTTTGTTGAATTGACTTGGCATAAAAATAATATGCGGTAAGTAAATATAAAAATACCGGTACAACAGTTACTTTCTTTTGTTTACATGATGATTGACGAAATGTATTTTAACTGCAAAAGTGTATTAATAATTGTAAGTTTTGAAATAAAGGTAGAAATAAAAGGTAGATATCTGATAATTCTTACGTTTAAAAAGGGCCGTGTAACTCCCCAGATTATAGTGTGACCTATCTGCAAGTCAACAGTAAATCATCAATTATTAAGCCACAAATTAGGAGTGCAACCTATCCGTGGGGCGACCTATCCATGAGTAAATACAATATTTATTTATCTGTCTATACATAATTCAGTATGTCCATACCTATGTGCAAGCTGGTGTATGGCAGACTCAGGATTGAGTCCATGTAAAAAAATGTAAAGAAATGTAAAGAAATGAAAAGAACCAATATATATGTACAAATAAATGATAATGTAATAAGAAAAAGGATTACAAGAGACAAAGATGTGTGTGTCAAATGAATGTGAAAGCCTAATGGTCCAACGTATGTGTAGTGAGTGAATGTGTGTACATACATGTGTTTGTTTGTATGTATTATTCCTGCGTTTTCCAAAAGGGGACATTGTTCTTCCACCAATCTGTGGGGCGACCTATCCATGAATAAATACAGTATTTATTTATCTGTCTATACATAATTCAGTGTGTCCATACCTATGTTGCAAGCTGGTGTATGCATTGAGAGATAAACATGTGTGTCTCCTGAAATACCCACAACAAATATGGCAGACTCAGGATGTGAGTCCATGTAAAGAAATGACAAGAACCAATATATATGTACAAATAAATGATAATGTATTAACAACAAAGGATTACAAGGGACAAAGGTGTGTGTGTCAAATGAATGTGAAAGCCTAATGGTCCAAAGTATGTGTAGTGAGTGAATGTGTGTACATACATGTGTGTGTTCATATGTATTGTTCCTGCATTTCCCAAAAGGGAACGTGTTCTTCCACGAGGGATTTACATGTCGTATAAGCAGAAAAGTAAGAAGAGAATGATAAAATTTTATTGTAGAGTATTTATAGTCCTGGAAGCGTCCTCTAGTAGCTGTTTTGAAAATTAGGAGGAGATAACCTGATAGTACATTAGCAAGAAAGGTATACATTTTAATGAGATTTTTCAAGCAAGGGAGCTAATTCACCAATAGTCATATTTGTGGGTGTGACACCTATCAATGTATCAGTCTATCTCAGTTTGTTCATATTGTAGTGAACAAAACATGATCTAGATTTAAAATTCAAATGCTAAGCACTGACTCATTGATTTTGTTAGAAATTAAAAAGACTCGAATTTACAAACTTAGCTTAACACACATGCAAAAGCGAATCCAAAACAAAACTTGTGAAATTTCACACCTTGATGCGAAACGTTTTTCGGACAATAGAAAACTAGGAAACATTTAAAAACAGAATTCAAATAATCTTCAATTTCTCAGAAACAAATTCTTTTACGGACCTTTTTGTGAGCCGACACGAAGTTTGTTTGTCATCCAATGGAAAAGCCCAATTCATATCCAGGAGTGAATTCCCAAATGACCTTTTCAAGTCCTGAAAAAAAAATAAAAGACGGGCAAGTTCGCCTGTCACCAGAGAGAAGGAGACAAGCGTATTAACACATCCCTTGACAAACGTCAAGCGATTGTTGTTATTATCTCTAACTTTCTCCCTCACCTCTTTTACACTTGATAAACAAACGGAACATTTTAAGACTGAGCGATTACTTCAAAGACATTCCTACCCTAAGATAATGTTCATACATACATACATACATACATACGTTCCTGCCTACATAAACATTCTTGCAAGGACTACTATGAACATTTTGATGACCTTGTATCAACCAAAATAGATTAATTTTATTTGTAGAGACATTAAATGATTTATATGTATATAAATTTGTTGTTTCACTTTACAATTTGATTTTCTTGTTTTATACCCCTCTTATGGTGCGCTATCTAACTAAGAAGGCCAAATCAAACTAATCTGTTTCAACACCCATACACGTCACTATAACTGATAACCCACTATAATATCAATTTATTTCAGTCAATTCATATCAATCTATCACTATATCAATTTGTTCACATCCATCCATCTATCTCAGTTCATTTTCTATCTATATATCTATCTAGCCTTACTCCAGTCTGTTCATACTTATCTATGTATCAGTCTATACCAGTCTGTTCATATCAATCTATTTCAGTCAATTCATATCAATCTCTATTTGTTCACATCTCTCTAAAATTCTTCACATCTATCTAAATTTCTTCACATCGACCTATCAATCCCTACTTCAGTGTGTTCATATGTATCTATGTATCATTCTATCACAGTCTGGTATTATCGATTTACTTCAGTCAATTCATATCTCTCTTAATTTTTCACATCTAAATTTCTTCACATCTATCTATCCCTACTTAAGTGTGCTATGTATCAGTCTGTTCTTATTAATTTATTTCAGTCAATTCATATCTATGTCAATTTTTTCACATCTATCTATCCTTTTTTGTTCATATCTATCTATCTATCTATCTATCTATCCTTGTTTGTTCATATCTATCTATCTATCTATCTATCTATCTATCTATCTATCTTGCATATATCATTGTGTGAATGTGTGTATGCTTATTTATTATCTAATGTCTAGAAAATTGATCCTATAAAAATGGATTATATAAATTGTAGATTGTGTAGAATCTTCTTAATATAATTTTTTTTATCTTGGTTACACATCAGAAAAATCAAATTTTCGTCTATTATTTTGGAAGTGATCATTTTTCTTTTCTTTCAATTTCAATAATTTCATTTAGGTTTTTTTTTTTACTTTTTTCTTTTAATTTTTAAATTGAATTCATTTTCTAAAATAAACTTGTAAATCAAAAATAGGAAAAAACTTTTCTCTGTAAAATTTAGCAATCAGTTTCAAATAAAAAGTTTTATTTTTATTTTTTGAGGCAAAAAAAAATAAATCAACAAAAAAAAAAACAACACTTGGGTCAACAAATCAGAAGAATTTTGTGCTGCACACTAAAATAATGCTAAATATTTTCTCACCTTTTCTTTATATTTTTTTTAATGGTTGAAAGTGGAGCTGACAAAACAAATTTACCCAGCAGAAAAAATCTTATTTTAATTTTTGTAAAAAACTTTGCTCAGTAGTGTACATTATTACAAACGCAATACATTAATCAAATTTTGATGTTATTGTCAGAAAATCTAGAACAATTTGCACACAGTTACCACCTACACCTTATAAACTTTCATACTGTTTTCATCTAAACTTATATTTCAAAGTAAATAAATATATATATATATATATTTAATAAATTCTAATATATAGTTCGGTACTCCAACTACAATTTAAGAACCCGGTTTGGGTCTGATGACCGCTTCCGGTCACCTGATCACAAATATATTCACCATTATTTAACAGTGTGCTTTAAAGAAAGAACATCTTCAAAAATGGTGGTGCTTCATTTTAACACGAATTTGGATATTTCGCCTCTAATTTTATTTTAATTAATTAATAATTACAAATGATGCGAAAATTTACACAATGTTTTGTTTTATTTTCTTTGTTTCTTTTTCTTATTTCTATTTTTTTTTTCGGATACGACTGACTAATTTTAAAATGGCGGACAACAACGTGTTTTGGTTTGGAAACGAACAACAACGTCGCGAGTTCAATCCCAGGGTGGGCCTTTCTACTTGACTTAAGCGACAAGCTCAAGTAAAATCAATTGTGTAGGTGGTATTTGCCTTTTGTGGTTGTTTTGTAATAGTGTTTAGTAGTGCTTAACTGTTGTTTTAACATCCATTCTGCTCTCTCTCTCTTTCTACCCTCTTCAATTCGTTAGTAGCCTTTTTTGTATAAAACAAAGTGATTATTTATTTTTCTTCTTTTTACTGTCTCATCGGTTTGTTTATATACGTTAAAAGTTTACTGACTGGATATTTTATTCCTATCTTTCATTGGTGATCTGATATATATTTTTTTTTTCATTTCTAGTATATATGTCTTTCTGACAAGATTGGGCTTTCTTCGTATATGATAAAAAAATATTTAAAATATCACCTGGGTTGGTAGTAGCAGTTTGTTCTTTCTATCCAAGAACGTTTCTCCTTTTTTTTTTTTTTTTTAAATATATTTCTTTTTCAATCAGTAAATAACGAAAAGGAAAAAAAAAAAGATTTTCTTTTTTACATTCCAAGATTTAAAAAAAAAAAAAAAATCAACATAAATTTATTTTTAGTGGTATTATTTTTATATATATTTTCAAAAACTAATATTTTAAAAAGAAATTCTTTTTGTTTTTAGTAAAAAAACCAAAAGAAATTTAAAAAGAAAACAGCATAAACATTTATTTTATTTATAAATATATTAAAATTAATTATTGCTAGAATTATGCTTTATTTGTTTAATTCTTCATTCATTTGTAGATTTTAACATAAAATTGTGTAATATTTTTTTTATGTTTGAAAGAAAGTGAAAGGAAAGATTGAAAAAAAAAATAACAAAAAAATGACCTTACATTTATTTAAAGAAATAGAAAAATTCATTTTTTACCGAAGAAAAGCACTTAGTCTTAATATAATTTTTTAAACGTTTTCCTCTTTCTGTATATTATTTTTATCTACTTTATAGAAGACAGTAAAAACAAACAACCCTACAACAAAGAAAAAACAAGAATAGAATAGCTCTCCCCAAAATATCACCATATCCACGAATTAATTTTTTTTTCTGGTGAATATATATAGTTTGATCAATTTATATTCATTGATAGATGACTATTAGAATGATTTATCTTTAATATAAATTTAAAAAAAATATTTCTCTATATATATTTTTTTAATGTATAAGCTGACTTTTTAATAATAGACTACTTAATATTACTACTACTAACTAAAAGTCTCTATTTTTTTTTTCTCCAAGTAGTTGTGACTGACTTATCTGCCCTTGGCAGCCTCGAAAATATTTCCTTTCCCTAACATGTCTTATGATGTATTGTCTTTTATTATTACACAAAACATTTATTATTACCTGTTCATGTGTGGGATATTTCAACGTAGAGTGATGTATTTCCTTCGCTTTAGTAAGCCAATTTATCCAGAGACCATTTTATCGTGCTTTTAAAGCCTTTAACTGGGCAAGTAAGTACTCTTTTTTTTTTTTTCTTTTTCTTTTTTTTAAAAAAAGCACAAAAAAATGTGAAGTTCAGTGATGTGTAAAAAAAACAAAAAACCCCCAAAATATTTAATATTCTTTTATTTATTTATTTTTTATAAATGTAATTCAATCATATTTTGCTTGTGTTTGTTATTGTATTATTTATTTAAAAATACTGCATTCATAATATTACTCAAAAATATTTAAAAATTGCTGTAACGCTGGTTTCATAACCGCGCTAAACCCGGTTTGGATTTTTTTTAATATTAAATTAATTAAAAAAAGAAATTAAACTTTTGAATATTGTAAGTTATCAAATTCAGATATTTTACATTTAATTCAATTTTTTTATCCTTTACATATAGTTCGTTCAGAGTTATTGTCAAAATTTATATCATTGACATGTCTCGTCTTCAGGTGTCCAATCTTTGAATATTTCAATGAATGAATTACTTTCGTGAGTCGTTCAAATTTAGATATTTGTTTTTAAAGTTTTTAAACGTGTTCAACAATCATAATAAATATTTTCTTTATTATCATGAACAGTAATAATAAAAGATAATACTTTTAGCTTAAATCCTTAAAATGTTAACTTTGTATTGGTGTTGTATAAAAGCGCTCAAAAGTAAACAAATACAGCTATTATTATTTAAACTAGTTTTTAATGGCAGTAACTTAATATGACTAATTTTTAAGTCGTTTTTAAATTTGTATCATATATTTGTCTCCTTGAATGATTTTATTTCAATTTAATTAATTTTAAAAGTAAGCTAGTAGGTAATCTTTTAAAAACTACTTTGATGTTTTTCATAGCATTATGAGAAGATAAATTTTATTTTTTAGTATGAGCATAAAACATTTTTGAAATGGATAGAATTTTCATCTTTTTTTGTTTTATTTAATTTAACCTTTGTTTTTTTTTTTATTTAATTTTTTTTATATTAAGAATTTTATATTTAAAAAAAAAATAAAGTATTTAATTTAAATAACATAATTTCATGCGAGTTGCCTCCCTTTAAAACAACCATGTATTGTAAATTTTTTTTTTGTCTTTAAAATAGTTTTCAGAAAAGAAAATAATACCCTAAACAATAATTTAAAAATTGATGAATATGTGATACAGTAATAGTTGACTTAATTTTGTTAAATTAATCTAAAGATGATCATAATTTAAAAAAATACATTTTTATCCAAAACTTGGCAACAAACAGGAGTAGATTTGCCTATTGTCTGCACAGGTTTGCACACTTCCTCTGTCTTTTGAACAGGAGTAGAGGTTTATCCCTTGTTCCCCGTTTAGGATTGGGTTTCCAGTTCCATTTAAAGTTTTTGCATTCTCTCTCGCTCCCAGTAACCCTTTGCGTCTTAGTAGCATTATTGCCTTTCTCACAGCAGGATGAATAATATTACAAGATGATTTATTTGTTCTGTTAATTTTTAGCTCAAAGAGAATGCTTGTCTGTAAGCCAGCTTTCTAAATATTTGAAAGCCACCTTATTCTTCATCAGTCAGTTGTGTGCCATGTGTGATACGCGCTTAGGTGATCATGTATCTTTCGATACATGACTGCCGAGGCAGATTTTTTCCTACAGTAGGTTGCCATTTCTTTCTGCGGTAGACCAGTTTCCATCCAAGGCTATAGAAACCTGGTCTGTCCTGCTATTTACCCATAGCTGGGGGGGAGAAGAAGATTCTTACCTTTCCCAAGGGTATTAGCACGTCAGTGAATGTAATGGATTCAACTGGAATTCAAACTCTGCTCTCCAATTTCTCAATCCAAGCCGCTATCCATTACTCCACAAAAATTAAAACCCTAATTCAAAAAGCTTATGCTGAAATGTCAAAGCCATTTTTTAAGATAATTTGATACCATGTCTTTTTATTATATTGTTTGAAAGAATAAATTCTTTTAAGTAATATTTAAAAAATTCATGATGTCACAAAAATTTGTCATTTGAAGAAGGTGGTGTTAAAACAGGTTTTCAAATGTTTTAGATCATTGCCACCTTTCTGGAATCCTTGATCCCCATCAACCCCCAAGCATGTCTTATGGACACATCATGTTGAAACACTGGTTCATGTACAATCACCAAAGTTGAGCTTGGTCAGTACCCAAATGGGTGACTACTTGAATATACCAGGTGCTGTAAGCATGCATGTGTGAGTGGCATAATGGATAATGTGTTGGAATTGTTAATCAGAGAGCCAAGTTCACTTTCCATTGGTGTTAACAGATCACGACAGCTATTAGGGAGATATGATTAAATATACTTTAATGTTTAAAAAAAATTTAATCAGTATTATTATTGTTTAGGTGATAAGCATTATAATAGCACAAATAGTTATATTGTAGAAAAAGGAATTTTCAACAATATACACAATATATAATATACATTAATTACTAATTTTTTTTAATTAATAACTATTTGTGCTCAGTTGTTGACATTAATAGCTATCTGCTGATGTGTTAAAATTTTGGAATAATGCAATAATAAAAATTTAAATTTCATCTCTGATAAATGCCGTGATCTGTAAAATAACTTGCGGAATATTTAGATTTTGGCATTAAATAACCCATAGAGGTTGAAAAGCTGCTAAACAAAAACAACCAACCACTTCCCATTGTGTTTATTATATTATGTGCAAATGTATTACTAAACCATTATTTTTTTTAAAAAAAAAAAAGATTCTTGCAACCTAAAAATATTTTCTGGCTTTAAATAGCCTGTAAAGAGTTAAGCTGTAGAAAATAAATCAATCAGATCCACCACCACCCTGCCAAGCATATGTTTAAAAAAAAAAAAAAAAACTATAGTGCAGTTATATGATTTTTTTTTTTTTTTTTAATTTTAATAAGTTAAAAATCATGGCCTTTTCAGTGGCTGATTGCACTATACACAGTTAAATTTTTTTCTGGAGAGGTTAAAATTCAAACATTCAAGGGTTACACTATACATGAAGTTGGGTTATACATGAGTTTATACGGTAATTATTTTTTAGTTAACTGTCCAAATTACTTATCCTTCATTATTGTTTTGCAATAAGATTAATTTAATTTTTTTTGTTATTCCTTTTCCAGATTATTTCTCTTTCTACAATAGATGTGCTTATATATATATTTTTATAATAATGAGAAAAAAACTTCATAAATAATCTCGGCCATAATAAACACATTAAAAATGATATAACTTTTGAATTGGTTGACATCATTCATGGGGAAAAAGATATGTTTGATGAGCAGTAGCAAGGACTTTGATATTTGGTGAGTTTTAGAAGTTAACATGATTTACTTATCAATCCCCTTTTAACTCCCAGGCATTTATCAACTTTCTCACTTGAATATATAACGTTGGTCCCTAGGTGTTGATATTGATTCCTTTGGTTGTCTCTGTTCAAGACGTACATTCATTTTACATTTTCTTTCATATCTACACACTATGGAATATTGCTGTCATATATGGTCTGGTTCTCTCACTGTACGTCTCGAGGTCCTTAACAAAATCCAGAGATGAATATGCAAGATCATAGGTCCTGATCTGGCATCTAGTCTACAATTGCTATCTCACAAGTGTGATGTGGCCTCCCTCTGTCTCTTCTACAAATATTTTCATGGCAACTGTTAGGAGCTACTTTCACTGGTTTCCAGACTATATGAATTCAAATGTGCTACCCTTTCATTGTCAAAACAGTTAAATGTAACCTTTCTTCATCTCAGACAGCTTCTTCTTCCCATCTGTGAAACTCCCTTCCCCTTACTTGCTTCCCTGATGACTATAATCTTCAAATATTCAAGTGTAATGTCAATCGACATCTGACACCCTGAGCTTCTTCCCTGTCCTCTGTATCCTTTCCTCAAATAGACCTCTTTACTCTTGTTCTCAATCCTTTATAACCACTTGCATGCTAGTAGCACTCCTGCCTTGCTTGGGGTGAATTGCCTAAAATATATATATATATATATATATATATATATATATAAAGTGAACATAGAAGTCAACACTTAGTTTCAGTCTGTTTCATGCTAGATGCAATCGTCAAGCCTGACGATTGCATATAGCATAGAACAGACTCTGTCTAAATGTTGACTTCTATGTTCACTTTTATATTTACACATGCTCTATCTCTGATATCGACACTTTATCCCATAAATATAGCACACCTTAAGACTATCTATCTATCTATCTATCTATCTATCTATCTATCTATCTATCTATCTATCTATCTATCTATCTATCTATCTATCTATCTATCTATCTATATCTATATCTATCTATCTATATCTATCTATCTATATCTATCTATCTATATCTATCTATCTATATCTATCTATCTATATCTATATCTATCTATATCTATATCTATCTATCTATCTCTATCTATATATATATATATATATATATATATATATATATATAGCTGTCTATTCACCATTTTGACATCAACTTCACAGCTTGGCCATTATTAATAATTGATAACATCTAATTACCTCAATAGATAGATATGAACAGAATAAGTTATATAGAATATAATCCAGGTTGAGTATTCTTTATCCGAAAATCCAAAAGATTTTCAGGTGCTGACATGAATTGCTACAAATGGAAAATTACAGAAAGCAACATGGCTACCCATAGCATCATTATTGCATTGCAGTATTACAAATAAAATGCTGACTTTTGTTCAGTTTTCATTATGTTTAACTGTAATCAGAATTCATGTTTCGTTGTTATACAAATACTGTACCTGCATCTACAGGGTCTGATGGGTAACTTGTCATCATTTTATATTTTTAATTTTGTGCACGTGCATTGTTTGTTTTTGATTTTGTCAACTGCACAGTACGGTAGGGTCAGTTGGGCACTGTCTGTGAGAAAAAGACGACCATGACACAATTCACTCTGCCAGAACTTTAGAAATGGCATGTTCTACTACTTGGCACTCATGCTGGAAGCTCCAATACAAACATTTCAGAGTGTTTGAGTGTCAGAAGATTTGGAAAGAGATGGAGGAGTCTAATGGTGATTATGAAGGTACAGCAGCTTAGAAAACTCACTCTGATTGTTCTGATAAGAAAATTCCCAAATTTGTTGGCAGAGGCCTTCGACTCGACATGGAAACCTACATCAAGTGCTTTGAGGAGGTAGTGCTACCCTGGGTCAAGAGGGTGGCTGCTGGAAGACCCTATGTCTGGTAACAGGACTCTGCACCAGGCTACACAAGCAGTAGAACACAGTCATGGTCAGACAATTTCTGCGACCAAATCACCCCTTACATCTGGCCACCTACCTCCTCAGACTGCAAATTCCTTGATTATGTGTGGGATGCGGATGAGCGAGAGACCCACAACACTTCTTATAATACCAAAGATGAATTCAAGGCAAGGATTACAGCAGCATTCGCCAACTTAAACAAGGAGACCATCCAGAAGAGTTGCAGGAGATTCCAAAGTCATCTGGAGGCTGTGGTTAAAATGAATGGTGATTTTATTGAATAAATTTACTCTTTAGTACTTCAAGATATTTTTGTGCAATTTTGGTAAATATATTTGTCAAAATGAGATGTCAGGGTTATTTTTATTTTTGCATAATTTAGATGACAATTTATCCATCGCACCCTGTATTGTAACATTTTAATCAAAACAATATCATTGGTAGAGACTGATAACATACTGAATTTTTCTTCTTTCACACTGATGTCATCGATGATGTACCAAATCTACTCAGTTTCTCGCACATGATGTAGAAGTAATATTTGGTGTTGCATTTATATATTTTTTATAAGTAGTAATCATTTTTTTTGTTTTTTTTTTTTTATTGTACACATACAGAAAGTACAAAACATTATTTTTAGGTAAAATCTTAATTTCACCACTTAAAAATCCATGTGAGCATTACGTGACTAGTGTCATTACCTGTATCAGTTTGTACACAAAATTTATTAAATTTTATATAAAACTACTTTCAGAGTATATGTTATTTATATAAAACTACCTTCAGGGTACATGTCTAAGCTGTGTTATGAAATGTAAAGGGATATCATATTTATGCTTGGGTTCCATTCCCAAGCTGCACCTTTTTAGAGATGCTATATATAAATCAAATAGCCTGTATTCCAAAATCCAAAAACAATCTGAAAACCATAGCACTTCTGGTGCCAAGAATTTTGGATAAAGGATTCTCAACCTGTAATAATAATGCTGGATCTAAAACTGTTTGTTCAAATAATAATAATGGGTGATGATAAAAGCTTCAGAAATAATACCAATCATAATAAACACATTGAAAATAAATATATCCTTTTATTGAATTGGCTGTCATCATTCATGAGGAAGGATGTGTAGGATGAGCAATAGCAAGGGTATTTGTATTTAGTGAGTTTTAGTTATAGGTCCTCATCAAACTCCTGAATCAGCCCTTTTGGTGAACCCTGCAGTAAAAGATAAACCTAATCACAGACCCAACGAAATGGAAAAATAATTGTTTTTAATATTTTGTGGTATAGAATCTTAAACTTTCTCTTCTCCTGGCACAGGTCATACATTGTTTTTCACATATTGTTAATAATAACAATATTATCAACTGTAAACAAACAAAAAACATTTGTAGCTGAGGAGGCCTGCCTTTGAGAAGTGTCTCCTGAAAAGAAAAAGAATATGGATGAATTTGGCTAGATTGCAAAAAAAAAAAAGTTATTTCTAACTTTTGAAACACCCAGCATCTTGTTCGAGTGCATGTGCAGTCACAACAATGTAAACAATGCCAGTCCAATGAAGTCCTAAAGAATGAAAAGCATCACAAAAACATTTTCAAAACATCTTTTCTTATATATATATATATATATATATATATATATATATATATATACATGATAGACTCTCATGACAACCACAAACTAATTATTTGCATGCCTATGACAGGCATGGCTTTTGAGACTGGCTTGAGAATTGCACAAAAGACCACAAATATTACAGGAGAATGTATTATATATATATATATATATATATATATATATATATATATATTTGGTTGGATTGATGTGAGTTTGTGACCCTGGGTTTCACGCTTTTGCAATTGTCAGACAAACACTTTTCACATATATATATATATGTGTGTGTGTGTTAGATTCCTTAAGAATAGATTCAATGAATATTGGTGATGTAATATAATGTTTTTGATGTTTGTTTATACTTGATATTATTGTCATTATTAGGCTCTCAAAGTACTTTCTCCTTAAAGAATTATGTTTTTTATTTATATATTTTTTTATTTATTCATTTTTTTTTTTTTTTTAAATAGAGTGGCATTAGTAAGATCAAAGTTATGTGCAGTTTTTTTCCTGTATATTACAAGAGTTTAAATGGTTGTCAAAATGTAAATCTCTTTAGGCTATTAAATCAAGTGATGTTTCCCTGATACAAACTCTTTCACATTGTAAACAATTTATTTGGTAAGTACCAGCATTTGAATTAGTATTGAATTATATATATATATATATAATGTGTGTATATAGAACAATGAATCCTGGAGAAGTCAGGAACAAGAAATTCTGTTTCAGGTCTTCAGAAATCTTCAACAGTGTAAACAGAGAAAATCCTGAGACACTTAGGCTGTCCTCTCTATTTGTAAATATCATCCATTCATTGTGGATATGATACAACCAATCACAATATGACTTCCCAGTCTAATAGAGGAACATTGGATATTGGTAACCAGAATGTGAAAAAATCTTGAGACATTTAGGCTGTCTTCACCATTTAACCAGAGTTACAGTGTGCCTTCCAGCCTAATAGGGGAACATTGGATATGATTTCACAGTGTGACAAATCCAAAAAATGTCCTATAAATAACAACAAAGTATGATTCAGGTCTTTGTATATTTTACAAATGTCTTCAACACCATTAACAGTATATGAAAAGATCTTGAGACACGGGCTGTCCTTGCCATTTTATAGATAACATTCAGGAATGTCATAATGGCATGGAGATTGTGATGAAATAGAACCAAGGAATTCTAACCTACCAGTGGCTAAGAGGCCACAATGTCTCACCTGCTCATTCGGAGACACCATTTGCAATTTAGGTAAAGCGCATGTGTCATTTTAGTGCTTTTAAAACTATCACTAATTAGCATGCATGGCCAAAAACCTGAATAAAAGGTGAGCCACACAGACAAGCAAAGAGAAGGGTAACTTTACATACATAACTTTACCTGTGTTGGACTGGTCTACGATTGACAATCAACTTCATCTCTTAATGTTGGTGGTTGACTTTCATAGACCATCAAGTTATGAAATGGTGTCAAGCAAAGTGACGTTGTAGCCTCCTCCATTGTTCTTCCTTTTCTTTTCTGTTCTTCTCCATGTCTTTAAGGACTGTGACAAGTTCTATATTGTACAGCTGGTAAACTATTCAACATCCAATGCTTCTCTGCTAAATCTAAGACATTCCAAACATTTGTGCAAGACTTTCTGTTTTCCAATGACTGACTTGGTGACCCAAACAAATCTTTCAAGAACATGCAATGAGTCTGACAAATATCAGGCATGTTGATCCAACAATTTACACGTGACTAATGTAGTGGAGTATGGATCTCCAAATTCAGGCCTCGTTAGCTACAAGAAGAGTCTTACTGGTGGATCTTTGACAATCTGCTATCAGTACAAACTGGAAATAACATATGTGGTGTGTCAGAAAATCTGTAGAAAGCACTCTGGTCTCACTCATCAAATGAAAACTTGCAAGCTGAACAGGGTTTACAAAACAAGCCAGGCCCTGTATTAAATAAATTAGTTTGCCACATACATCTGTAATAAGCTTTGCAGTTACATGCTGGCTTCAAGAGCCAGTTTTGTTCTCACAAGAACGAAGACCATCTACCTAACTTGTTACTGATGATCATACTCAGTCAATGAATTGACAGCCCTTATATATACATATATATATTAGGTTGGTGCAAAAATAATGTCGTTTTTGACGTTCAACTTAATGTCAAAAAACGACATTATTTTTGCACCAACATAATATATATATAAATATATGTGAAAATATATAGAAAATAGGAAAGAACTCGTTAGGTAAACAATACAAAGTTCTTTAGTATTTTTGTTATTATTTTTAAAAAATAGTGCTCGATACAAAAGTAGAGCATAAATATAATTATTTATTTAAAAATATGTAGCGTGTTGGAATCATATTTTTAAATAAATAATTATATATATAAATATATGCATATATATATATATATATATATATATAAGCTGCTACAAGGGGTTACTGGGTGAAAAAGAAATAGAAAACATTATGAAGGAGCAAGAACAATAGAAGAGTGATCAAGAAAACAGTAGATGATGATTGATATTGCATTTAAATTTTTGAAAATCAAAGTTGGAGAAATACAAAAAAAAGAAACTTAGCATTGAACTTATAGTTACATCTAGTCAATTCAACTGTAAATTGATGAGACCTTAAATTCTTAAAGTCTAGATACCATGGTGAAGAGTGATATTTATTCTGCATTATGTATAGAAATATGGCACAAGGCCAAAAATGGGGAATGGGGAAAAGGACGATCATCTCCTGTCTTAACATTAAACTTAACTAGCCACAATCACTGACCCAGATATACCACCAATTTCCTTACACCAAAACAATGCATTCTTACTTACCATTCTTACTACAATCACCACAATACCTCATTGTCTCTAAGAAGTCCTAATTAGTCCCCATATGTACAATTCTTGTCTGAGCGGGGGGGGATATAACAACAAATTAAACACTAAACCCCAAGGTGTATTTACAAATATAAACAAAACTATTTATAAGGAACTAAATAGCGAAGAGCTCATTTGAATAATTACCATGAAAGTATTTATAAAAAAGGTGCAGAGAAGCAATTTTATAGCAGTGGAAAAGTGACTGAAGCCGAGATGCCAGGTCAGGAACAATATTGCTGATTATCCTTTGGATTTTATCAAAAATCTATAAATAAATAGTGGGAGCAACAGACCAATATGTTTTTAATATATATATATATATATATATATATATATGTTTTTAATATATATGTATATATATATATAAAAGTCTGAAAAAATCAGGAGGTCAATTAAAATACACAACCATGGTTTTGACCTGGCTGTCTTGTTGGGTGATACTTTGAAAATGACCACTTTAATGCTTTATTTAAAAAAACCCACAAATAACGCTACATAATTATCTTTCGAAAAAAATAACAGGCGTATGATGAAGGAAAGACAGGACATTGGGAGTAATGGAAAGGGAAGTGGAAAAGGAGGCGAAGGGAAAGAATTATATAAGATACCAATAAGGTGTCTTTTCTGGCAATAACTACTTTACATTTCATGTTTACCATAAGGGACAATTGTTCAAGTGGCCAACATTGTTTGCTTTTATTTGTTTATATAATGCTTGAGACTGTCACAGATCAGGTATTTTTGTACCTGCCACAGCGGCAGGAGATTGGAGGTTTTGAGTAGCATTGAACCACCTGTTAATTGCTGCTGTTTCCAGAGTCCACCTTGACCTGGAATGCTAGCACCTGTTAGGGTCCCAGCTATGGACAAATAGTTAACTCCCAAACAAAATCAAAAGTATAAAAATACATTTTGATAGTAAAATTACCAGCGATATAGTTTTATAGAAAAAATTACCAACAATACCTATTTATAGTAAAATTACTAACAATACATTTTATCTGTAGTTGAAGGCATAGAATTATGTTAAAAATATTTAGATTTTTTCATTAATTGGCTTCCCTCTGTCTTTTCTACAAATATTTTCATGGCAGCTGCTCTGACAAGTGTTTTTTCCTGGTCCCCCTCCCCCAATATATGAATTTAACCATGCTACTAGATTGGCTTCTAGGTCCCACCTGTTTACTGTTAAAATAGTTAAATGTAACGGCCACTTCTACACCAACAGTTTCTTTTATCACACTGGGGAACTCCTTTCTATTTCTTTGCTTCCCTGATGACTACAATCTTCAAAAATTTAAATGCAATGTCAATCAACATTTTCTGTCTGTTTGAACCCCCTTCATTTTTTGTTCTTTCCTTGATTCTTCCTATACTCAGTATTCACTTTCAATTTCATTCTCTGTAACCCCCTGCATAATAGTGGCATTACTGCCTTGCTTGGGACAAAACGATAAAAAAAAACAAATAAAAAAAATTAATCCAGTGAGGTTGATATGCCACTAAACAAAATCAACCAACCAACCCAATCAAAATATTTAGATTTCAGCATTAAATAACCCATAGAGTTGTTGTTATGCCTCTACACAAAATCAACCAACTGAAATACCTATTTATAGTATATATTTAGTTCAATCGATAAAATTGTGTTCAAAATATTTAAATTTCGGCATTAAATAATCCATAGAGGTTTTGATATGCTGCTAAACAAAACCAACCAACCAATCTACAATGGTACATTTGATCAGTATGCTGACTACACAAGATTTTATATTTTGGTTTTGCTCTGTTAGCTATATGAAACTAGTATTACACTAAACAATGTCTAGGTATGTGAGCAGTGACAATAAATAGGTAAGCTGCAGCATTTAAATATTCTTTTATTATTACCAAGGGTCCCAGAGTATATTAAGAAAATATTTCCCATGCTATTATACCAACACCACCACCACAACAACGACTGTTAATTCAAGGCAGAGCGGTTCTATATTTTCATGTTTATGCTAAATTCTGTTCCGAGGATGCGAATGTTGCAGCAGAAATTGAGACAGTTATGAGACTAGTCTTTTTAATCTGCCATCATTCAATTTTGGAGATCCTTAGTAGACTGTAGCACCTCCCCCCACCTCGTTTCTTGTTCTTATCTAACAGGAATAGTGCCTGGCATGGCTTTCTGCTGCTATAGTGCATCTGCTTCAAGGTTTAACATATTGTGTATTGTATAAGTCCATTGTAAAAACTTTATTTTTAGCTCCTGTTGCCTTTTGAAATCAGCTTGAACCAGATTATCCATTCTCATCTGACCTCTTTTGCCAACAAGGGATTTCCATCAACAGAATTACTGACCAGTGATTTTTTTTTTTCCTTTTGTTGACCATTATCTGTAAACCCGAGAGATGGTTGTGCATGAAAATCCTAACACATTGGAAGATTTTCAAATAATCAGACTTGGCCATCTGATTATTCTGGATTGACAAGCCATTTACATACATTTCTTTCCCATACAAATACAGGATATGAAATTCAGCAAGTCACTGTGACTGTGTTTAAATGCCTATCTATCTCAGTCTCTTCATATCTATCTATCTCTTTATCTCAGTCTCTTCATATCTATCTATCTCAGTCTCTTCATATCTATCTGTCTCTTTATCTCAGTCTCTTCATATCTATCTGTCTCTTTATCTCTGTCTCTTCATATCTATCTATCTGTCTCTTTATCTCAGTCTCTTCATATCTATCTATCTCTTTATCTCAGTCTCTTCATATCTATCTCTGTCTCTTCATATCTATCTATCTCTTTCTCAGTCTCTTCATAGCTATCTATCTATCTCTTTATCTCTGTCTCTTCATATCTATCTATCTATCTCTTTATCTCAGTCTCTTCATATCTCTCTGTCTCTTCATATCTATCTATCTATCTCTTTCAGTCTCTCATAGCTATCTATCTATCTCTTTATCTCTGTCTCTTCATCTATCTATCTCTTTTATCCTCAGTCTCTTCATATCTATCTCTGTCTCTTCATATCTATCTATCTATCTCTTTCTCAGTCTCTTCATAGCTATCTATCTATCTCTTTATCTCTGTCTCTTCATATCTATCTATCTATCTCTTTATCTCAGTCTCTTCATATCTATCTCTGTCTCTTCATATCTATCTATCTATCTCTTTCTCAGTCTCTTCATAGCTATCTATCTATCTCTTTATCTCTGTCTCTTCATATCTATCTCAGTCTCTTCATATCTATCTGTCTATCTCTTTATCTCTGTCTCTTCATATCTATCTGTCTCTTTCTCAGTCTCTTCATATCTATCTGTCTATCTATCTCAGTCTTTTCGTATCTATCTATCTATCTATCTATCTATCTATCTATCTATCTATCTATCTATCTATCCAACTGTCCTTGTCTGCTCATATCTATGTACACTTGTCTGTTGGTATCTATCCCTGCCTGTTCATATCTATCTATCTCATAAGAAATTTTTTTTTTAATTATTTTCCCCTAAAGCAAGACAATAAAGCCATTAGGACGCCAGTGGTTGCTGAGGCTGAAAGACAGTGAAGGAAATTGAAAAAGATGTTACTGAGGAGAAATGACAATAAAAAGAACAGTCAAGCTAACAGATGATGATGATTAATGTGTTTAAATGTTTGTAGAGTGTAGTTAACATGGAAAGCAAAAGGCTTCAAGAGAATTCCATAGGCTAGAAATGCGATCCTTTGAAGAACCACAACTTTTGGCTTTGCAACTTTTTTGACTTGCATGTTATCTTTCTGCCACAAGGGTTCTGCCTCGTTAGTTATCTCCCTTGCACTGGCAATGCCTCGTCACAATGTCTTATGCTAATGGTGGAGGCTTCTAACATGTTTATGAAGAGGGGAGGTAAAGAGACTAACGTTAAGTAAGAGCAAAGTATGATGATAACTGGTAAAGGTGATGTAAATTTAAAGATTGGAATGAAAATACAACCATTCTGATGGTTTCTCTGCTCTAAAAAATGACCTACAACCTGTCTATTGTTAACTGGGGCAAGGATTGGCATGTTAACTTTAACATCTCCAAAATGAAACTTCTATCTGTTAATATTCTGAGAGACCACTTTCTACTGTCTATCAGCATGGCTGATGCTAACCTCCAGGAGGGTGACTCATTGCACCTTCTTGGGCTAACATTTGGCTGACTTTAAGTGGAATGATTATATCAAATCTATTGGTAGACCTGCTGCTAAGAAAGTTGGTTCACTGTGTCACTCTAGACAATTTTTCTCTCTAGAATCTATCTTACATATTTATAAGTCTATCATTCCTCCATGCTTTGAATATTGCTGCCACATAATGGTCTGGTGCTCCTGCTGTATATTTGGAGATTCTTGATAAAAAACAAAAAAGAATCAGCAATATTGTTGGTCCTGATCTGGCATCTTGGCTTTAATCGCTTTCCCATCGGCATAACATACCTTGCTTGTACCTCTTCTATAAATACTTTCATGGTAATTGTTTGGATGAACTCTTTGCTATGGTGTATAGACTGTGAATTTAAGAGCCGTACCAGATTGGCGGCAAGGTTTCAATTTACAGTTGAATTGGCTAGATGTAACTGTAAATTCAATGCTAACAGTCTCTTTTCCTGCACTTACTGCTTGTGGAACATGCTTCCAGCTCCCTGCTTTCCGGCCAACTTTGATCTTCAAAAATTTAAGTGCAATGACAATCATTATCTACTGACTTTGTCATTACACTTCTTCTATTGTTCTTGCTCCTTAATAATGTTTCTCTTTTTTTCTTATTCTTTCACACTCAGTAACCCCTAGTATCTTAGTGGCTTTATAACCTTGCTTGGAGTGAAATGATTAAAAAAAACAATGTACTTTCTTCCGGTTCCATACTGTCCAGCCAACTTCAAAAATTTTAATCCAACGTCAAGCGTTATCTCCTATCTTCTTGATTCCTTGTCTTTTATTGTTCTTGCTTCTTAATAATGTTTCTCTTTTTTTTTATTCTTTTACACTCAGTAACCCCTTGCATCTTAATGGCTTTATTACCTTGTATCAAATGAAATGATTAAAAAAAATAAAGTTGTTTTGTTGGAACTAGGTTGCAGTGTTTTAAGTAGAGGAAGAATGATGGCTTGGAGCCTGTTGCCAGACATGTTTGATTGTTCTTAAACATCCTGTCACCTAAACCAGTCTCAGTTCTGTTGGATCATGTTTGGTGCCAATTACCATCTTTCATGTGCATCTATGGAAAGAACAATGTTAAAGAGACTGTGTTGCAAGAAATTATTTCAGTCAACATCAATAAAATCATTGTTTATTTTAGTGAAAAATGAAAAACACCAAAAAACAATATAAATAATATATAATATAAAAAAACTAGCCTATGGGGGCGGGGGGCATTTTAAGCTAGCTCCTGTGGAGGGCTCTTGATTGGGCATTCAGCTTGTTCAGTAGTTTAAGACTCCCTAATTGTTTGCATATTTTCAGCACTGGAAGCTCTCCTGGCTGCCGTTTGATTTGGGTTTTCATTTGCATGGGACTTTCTTTTCCACACTGCATCCTTGCCTCTTTTGACAGCAATCTGTTCCTCTGTTGGCGGACATTTCTTTTTGCAAGGCATACTGCTGCCGTATGTGATATGCAACAATAAACTACAGAAGCACTTAAAATTAATCGTTTCATTAAAGTATTACATGAATAATTAAGCTTACCTTTGGAAATTTCAGCCGACACTTAATTTAAAGACTATTTGATGTACGCAGGTCCTTACTTTCTGTACAAACAATTATTTTTATTTCATGGGTGACTTTTGCTGGATTTCACAATTAATTTCAATTATTTCCAAGTTATAAAAATTGTTATTGTACAAAAAAATTTGTCACAAAAAAATCACTGAAAACTTGGGAATCCAAAATTTCGGGATTGTGGATCTGAATCCGGCCTGGAATATTTTTAATTTACTTACGGAGTCAGCCTGATTCCAAAATGGTACATGTTGGGCTACGGCCTCTAGGAGTAAAGTTGAAAAAGTGTGACACACTGACATTCGTATTTATTTATACGGATAATATCTAAAATAAACTAGTAGTAGACACCCTACTTGGCCCCAATGCTCATTGACATCAACTGCATCTGGGTAATCTCCCTCCAGTGGGATTATCCATCATTGTTGAAATCTATTGTTGTTTTTGTTTTACAGGCATAGTATCTGCACTGCATACCTAGACTTCTTTGTACAGCTTCGGGTGGCTGAGCAGTTGTGAATTCAGAGTTTTCCTTCTTCTAGACTGGTTGCCAACAATTGATAGAGAACTATTAGTATGAAAGTGAATGTAATGAACTTGGCTTGAAGCCACTAACACTACTTGCACGCACACACACACTACTTGCACGCACACACACACATATATATATTCAGTTGTATGGATATAAGTTTGTAACCCGTTTTTGTGATCATGAGATGAACTGGTTTATTGTTAAAAAAATTGAATCTATTTATGTTAGTTTGTATTTATGTTTGGTAGTGGTGATGGTGGGGGGGGGAATTCTCCTGTGTCCATTTTGGCATAATGGTCAGCTATGCTAACAGCACAATGCTTCCTAAACAGATCTGGGAAATTAAAAACAAAAAACCAAATTACACTAAAAATAAGGAAAACAATATCAACCTACAACAATCAATCAAAAAACTGTAAACTTTGCCAGAATGAAAAATAGCTATAGTTACCTTCCCAGATCAAAACAAACTACTAAATAAATGATCAGAACTCATCTCAAAATACAGGCATGAAAACAAATTTTTACTACGTTATTTAAAATTCAAAAATTAAAAATAATCTAATATTTTCTGGCTATAGATAACCTGGAAAAGGTTGATAACCATTAAAAAACAAATCAATCAATCAATCAAATACTGATTAACTACACAAGCATGTCTTTTAGATTTATTGACATTCTCTAGAGTATAATTGTATAGAAACTTGGCCACAAAGTGAGGGATCAGTTTATCAATTGATTGTAATATAGAATTGATCCCCCATTTTATATCCACACTATAATTTCTTGTTTATCAAATACTGATTAGCTACACAGGCATGTCTTTTAGATTTATTTACATTCTCTGGAATATAAATGTATAGAAACTATCATGGTCACAAAGTGAGTAATCAGTTTATATATTGATTGTAATGTGGAATTAATCCCCCACTTTATATCCACAATTTTTTGTTTATCAATTTCTGATGAGTCATGAATCCTCCTGTTCTCCCCACCCCCTCACCAGCTATGGGATGATTAGTAAGACTTGTATCACTAAATCATTATTATCTCCCTGCAAAAAGGAAATTCTTAAAATCTAAATATATTTTCTGGCTTTAAATAACCTGCAAAGGGCTGATAAGCTGTACAAAACAAATGAATGAATCATAGACTGGTTGCCAACCAAGTCTTCTCTTCTATTTAACCTATTGCTGGGAGTAGGGAGAAAGATGATTCCACACCTTTCCCAGGTGAATATAATGAACACAACCAGAATTTAAACTTGTTTTGCTGATTTTTTGTTCTAAGACTGCTAACCCTTACATCACCTTCCCATCCGAGATCTGAAATGAAAAAAAAATTAAAATATTAAGTGAATTATTTTAAATCTACAATTTAAAGTGAAAGAAAATTAAAGTCCAAAGGCCAGTTTAACAGAAACCATTAAATTTTTTTTCTTTTTCTTCCAGAATGGCTGCTGATGAAGAAATTCTTTGTAAGGAATGTGGCAAGAAGTTACAGATATACGAGCTAAATTTAACTGAGAAAATCCGTCTGTGTCCAACTGATGGGGTAGGTAAAATCTGCACTGTCTTCTTTTATAAGTTTGTATAAGGCCAAATTTTGTCTCACCTTACAGCAGTCGAAGTTCTACTTGAGCATCTTCTTCCCACAAGCTGCTGCTTTTATATCTATTATAGTTACAATCTGATTTACAGCAGTGTTCATAGTAGCCATTGTGGTCATCTGTCATTTCATATTACAGCAGAGTGCGATGGATAAATTGTCGCCTAAATGACACAAAAATGAAAAATAACACTGATATCTTATTTTAACAGATATATTTACCAAAATTACACAAAAATATCTTGAAATACTAAAGAGTAAATTTATTCAATAAAAATGCCATTGGCTTCAACCACAGCCTCCAGACAACTTCGGAATCTCCTGCAACTCTTCTGCACAGTCTCATTAAGTTGGTGAATGCTGTCATGATATTTGTCTTCAGTTCTTATTTGATATTACAAGGAGTTTTGTTGATCACTTGCTCAATCAAAAACTAACAATGTGTATGTGTGAAATTAAAAATATAAAATGGCGACAATTTACCCATCGCACCCTGTATATATTAGTTGAATGGAGTGAAAAAATTTTATGGAATTATCTAAATAAGTCAAAATAATCTATTTGAGTATATTATACTGAATTATTTAAAAAAGTGAACAAATAGTAAGTTTGCTTTATTATTAATATAATAATTCTCTTAAAATTCTCAACTCTCTCAATGCTTCAAGTCGCTAAATGACATCAATCAGGTCCACTGCCCTGTTACATTTGTAAATCTTACTTATTATAAAACGCAGATTGTGTGTGTGTCTGTACGTTTATATATTGGATCGGATTTCCTACATTTTTCAACCGATTTCAACAAAACTTCACAGGACTACATAAAATTACTTTGCGTTGGTTCTGACAGCGCCAAAAATTGGAAAAACACAATTGTTTTTGCACGAAATCAAATTTAAAAACACGATAAAACATGATTCTGTCGCCAGAATGAAAGGGGACAACTCATATTGAGTTATACTTATTATAAAACCCAGGTTGTTTGTGTGTGTGTGTGTGTGTGTGTGTGTGTGTGTGTGTGTGTGTGTTCATTTATATATGGGATCGGATTTCCTACATTTTTCAACCGAACTTAACTTTTTCTTGGTAGGTAGTGTTTCTTATTGTCTTGCACACTTTTTTCTTTATTTTTACATTCAGAATGCTTTAAAAATTCCATTTACAAGACAATTGTTTATAATAAAATTCTAGTCAATCGATAGACTCATAACGATTGAAAACAATGTTTTTGTTTGAGTTTGGGTTTGACTAATTCGTAAAAAAAAACAACAAAAACTAATTAAGACATGCATGTCCGTCAACCTTAAACAATAATCTTTGTCAATTTTATTTTTCAGTCTTTATGATGGTCAATACTTGATCTAGCTCTTACTGTTGCATCTCCAGGCAATGCTGGGCTCTACTGCTAGTCTGTTATATGAACTGGATAAATGATTGCAACCCTTACTTATATAGCCATTTGCCTGAGGGGGATGACATTGATGGGTGTTAACTTTTGTTAGGGAAGCAAATGGCCCTTCTATAAGTAGCTCCAATCAGATTCTGAATTTAGACATTTTCGTAAGAATTAATATAATTTGGGAGGATAGCTCATTAAATAAACAGTTCCCAGACTTTGCAGGATTTTAGCAAGCACATTAATCTTGTCACCCACAACTTGCTTGGGGTTGTTAAGCAGGGTAGAGAAAATTCAGTCATACTGAATTTACTAAATCTAACTAGGTCTATTTTGGGTTCAAATTCTCAAGATGCATTCTTCATAAACATTTTGTAGATTCTGGTTAATCCATCAGGTTCCAATCTGGACTGTTAATCTTCCATATTTTGTATTCTTACTCTTTCACTTAGAATTCTCAACTCTCTGAATGACATTTCATGCATTATTATAAGCCAGTCAAAGCCACTGCCCTGTTACTTTGGTAAATCTGTGACATGAACTGGACAAACAACTGCATCCATCACTTATGTAGCCTGGTGGGGGAGTTGATATTGTCACTAAATGACATTTCATGCATTATTATACCTCAATCAGGGCAAGTATCCATTTAGAAAATAGAGTTATTCTTATTATTCAAGGATAGTTAGAGAACTTGTCCAGTTCTGTGAGTGTTTAGAATATTAATTTGGGGTACCCCATCATCTGTTTTTATTGTGCTGTTAAATTCATTTTTCCCCAGTTTAAAAAATTAAAAAACATAGAAATCTAAACAATAGTATATATTTACGAGGGTAAGTAAAAAAATTATCTGCTCTTTCACCATAACGTATTTTTAGGTTGGTAACACTGCCTTCTGCTTATACGTGCTTATAGTCGGTACTATTGTGGTCACATGATTGAAGTTTGAGTTTCATCGGGCCAGTTTTTTTGCTGCTGTTGCAGTGTAAAACATGACTGCTCTGCTAGAAGTGTGGATGAAGGAGAAACAGAACAGTGATCAGATTTCTCTGTTCGGGAGCTGTGTCAGGAGCTGAAATTTATTAGAGGCTTTTAACACAATATGGCGACAATGCACTACAGCAGAGAAGTGTGTATGAGTAGGTCAAGAAGTTTAAAAGTAACCAGGCAAGTGTGACACAAGGAAGGAGCGGGATGCTTGTCAACCTCCATCACAGATGAGAAAATTCGGCAAGTTCGAGAGATGGTAATGGCAAATTGATGAGTTATCATTGATAAGGTAGCATGTTCTCTGCAGATTTGGATTACAGCTCTTTGTTCCTCTTTGGTGCAAACTGCCATGTTCACACTGTAACAGCAGCCAGAAAGCTGGCATGATCAAGCTCAAACTTTGATCACGTGACAATAATAGTATCGACTATAAGCACGTGTGAGCACAAGGCTGTGTGACAAACCTAAAGGTATGTTATGGCAAAAGTGCAAATAATTTTTGACTTACCCTTGCATATATAATAACATATATATGTATTTGTTTCTAAGTATGCCCATCTTTAGTTACAGTTTAAACATGTGCTCCACCAGGACCACATATTGGTTTTGAATTCAGAGTTGTATTTCTCTTATACTGGATGCAAAACAAGGCTAGCAAGTTAAGTCTGTCATGCTATTTAACCCATGTCTAGTGAGATAGATTCATACCTTTTCCAAGGGTATTTGTTTGAAAAAGAATTTAATGATCTCAAATGAAATTCAAACACATCTCACTGATTTCTCATTGGCCTCTAACCATTACACCAACTGCTGTCAAAATCTTTAAAAAAAGTCTTTGCAAAATGTAAAATTAATAAAAATGTTTTTATTGATAAATATATTATTTTTTAATGCCTATTCTTTTGGCAATTCTTATTTGAAGAATAATTTTTTCTTTCCACATTTTTGAAAAGATTCATCTTAATGCTGTCAAAATGTTTAAAAAATGTCTTTGTAAAATATAAAATTAATTAAAACAAAAAACCATGCATTTATTAATGAATGTATTATTTTTTTCAGTGCCTATATCCTCTGGATATATCTGACCACATTGAAATCATATCCAATGACAATGGGCAATCATGTGACAATTTTGTAACTCCAGAGCCTTGCCCTCCTTTAAACAATAAACCCCTACCTGCTCCAGTGCCACGCCCTGCACAGGAAAACTTCCAGCCAGTCCTTAATGCCCTTACTCACCACCATTCCAATGATAAACTGCATGATATTGGGCCACCAAAAACCCCCATGGTGGCCGGTAAGACAAATATGCAGCAAGATGCTTCCAGCTGTAACCCCTCGACCTTGCTCAACCTTCCAAAATCGATGGAGTCGATCATCCGGAAGGTGGCAATGCAAAACAAAACCTTTTCTGCTTTGCTACCAACAGAGTTCCTGAACCCTGAAACTGCTAAACTGAACCCTCCAAAAAGAAAACTCCCAAATGCTGACACTAGTCCTGCTGCGGCCCCACTACCCGGTCATTTAGTCCAGAAAAAGACGAAAACCAAACAAACAAAATCAAAATCGAAAGTTGTGTTACAGTGGCCCAATGCAGATGCTCTATGCTGGCTTGACGTCATCCTCTGTCTTTTTGTTCACAACAAAATTCTCAAGAGCCGAGTAAGCCAGTTGCATGAGATGGACACCTCCGTACTGAAGGCGCTGTTCACAGCCTACGAAGAAGCTTGTCTTACACTCACCCGATGTGAGAGAGACTTATCGTCACATTTTGGGTCAGGCCAAGCCCCGAATATTGGACCTAAGCAAGTGATGTCTGCAAAAAACCGGATCCGCAATGATGCTGTGAAGGTGGCTGTAAAGATTTTGGAAGGCGTTCGAGAAAGGGTTTGGAAACAAATTCAGAGTCGCGTTGGCTGCGAGAAGAACGTGGCAGACAGTCCGATATTTGCACTTCTTGCCCTAGAGAAGCAGGAGCAAGTGATTCGGGACGTATTCACTCTCTCTTACTGTCTGGACTTTACTTGTACCCTTTGTGGCTACCGAACATCTTCAAGGTAATTTATTTTTATTTCAAGACAAAAAAAATTCTCATTGAAATTGTGTGATAAAGTATTGTCTTTTTGCATAAATGGTGATGGTTTTAATTTTTCATATCACAATGAAAATTTATTAAATACGTCAAAATTTTCATTCATTCTAATTACTAAGGATTTATTAAACAAATACAGTTTGCCCCTTTCCAATTTACACGCTCTTTAAATGACAATAAATGCAGTGTTTATTGACTTATAAACAAGATTAATGTTTAAAATTAAGAAATATTCAAGTTTGAATTACAAAGAAGATTAACAGTATAAATAAAATATAAAATGAGATTAAAGTGAACTTGGACGTTCGTGCACGCAAAAAAAGAACGGTGTCAAAAGAACAACTTTTTCCTTGACACTGCTATTATTTTAACTACCTTCCCTCCTCAGCCATGGTTATTGTTTTAAAAATGATGATTAGAATTGTTATAAAACCAAAACATATGAAAGTGAATTTATACATTTTCTTTGTTTTTTTAGAATTTACAACAAAAATAATAAACACTGTTTATTTTTTATTAATAATACCTGATTTTAATTTTTACAATTAATACCAGATTTTTATTTTAAATTTTATAATTAATACCAGATTTTATGGTAGACATTAATAGGTTAATGTAAAAAAAAAAAAAAATTTTTATTTAATAAACCGAACTTTCTGATTACTCACTAATATTGAAAGTTTATAAATCCTAGTTCACACAAGTTTTTAAATTCTGTTTCAACCTCTAATACTTTTTGATCAGTCCAATACTTTAGCAACAAATCACAATCGGTAAAATGCTAAGAGTAGACTTTGCATGATTTCCAAGCCTCAAACCATGACTGACAGTTTTTAGTTTTTATTAGAAGTTTAGCTTTCTTGTGAAATAAAGTGTTTTTATGATGTAGCAAGGCTGAAACACAGACACAAGAGGAAATTAATATTGATAGTTCATATTTATAACAGGTCATCCCCTTAAACTGGGACATATATGCCAATGTTTAATAAAGTTAGTGTTGAAAATGAAAATATTTGACTTTTATTTTTACTTAATAAACTGGATGAGCATTTTGGCTTTCCAAAATTTAATCATTAATAAAAAGTGTAAGTACTGCCAAAAAAATTAGCATACATGGTGAAAAAAATGATCAAAACTTAATAAAAACAAAGTTTTATCATCAAAATCTTTTTTATTATTAAGGGGAAAGATCAAAGGATTTTTTGATGAAAAAATAATTTTATTTTAATACTTTGGAAATTTTGGTTAAAAATGTTTTTTCTAGCATCAATGGGGTACCATAAATTAGCACAGGAAATTTGAATATCTTTTTGCGGTGAAAAAGACACTGACCTGGAAATTCTTGCAAAAATCAAATAATTGTTGGATTTTGATGCAAAATTTTCAGACTTATTCAGAAATGAACAAAATTATTTTTGAAATGTTTCCTTTTTAGAAAACATTTTATGAACTTACTTTATGAAATTTTGAGAAATTCTTTTTTGTAGAGCTTAAAGTCTATATTAGTTATAAGGACAAGTCATTGAAAAATTTAGATCATCAAATTTTTTTTTATTTAACAGGGTCCTCAGTTATAGAAAATCTGCACTGAATCGTCAAATAAAAAATACAATAAAAGTAAAACATTTTTAATTAAAAAACCTAATTACTTTTAGGAGTAAAATATATTATGGGCACTATTGACTTATGAAAAAAATTTTTTTGACAAATAATAAATTTTTGCAAGAATTGTTTTCACTTTTTATTTTTTAATTAGAATGATTTATGAATTTTTAAATCTTTTAAAATTTTGTATTAAATTGTAGTGATCAAGTGATATTATCATTAAATGAAAATATATATTTACTAATCATAAAAAAGTGTAGTAACTATAGTAAATTTAAAATTGGTAATTTTCAAACATTTACACAAGAAGCATAAAGCCAAAAGTACCTAAAATTTAATAAAATATTAGAATGCTTAAAATATTTAAAATTTTTAAGATTATTGGGTAGTTAAAAAAAATTATATAAAAAAAGCATTTATGTTGTATTTGTTATGTAATTTAATTAGTCAAAAGGTCAATAAATGTGTCAACACCTTATAAAAATGATCACTTCCATGTTAAAAAAAATGATTTCTGTGATATTTTTAACTAAAAGTAGTATTTGTTTCAATTCGGATTCAGTCAGTTATGTGTCATGCATGATACACACTAAGGCGGTCATGTATCTTTCGGTCCTGCTATTCACCCATATCTGGGAGCAGAAGAAGAGGATTCATACCTTTTCCAAGGATATTAGCACATAAGTGAATATCAGTCAGTTATGTGCCATGCGTGATACATGCTTAGTTGATCATGTATCTTTTGATACATGACTGACGAGGTAAATTTTTTCCTGCCATGGGTTGCCATTTCTTTATGCAGTAGACCAGTTGCCACCCAAGGCTACAGAGCCCAGTCTGTCCTGCTATTTACCCACAGCTGAGGGGAGAAGAAGAGGATTCATACCTTTCCCAAGGGTATTAGCACGTAAGTGAATGTAATGGATTCGACTGGAATTTGAACTCAGCTCTCCAATTCTTCAATCTGAGCTGAATTCAGATTAATTAAACTTTAAATCAGCTAATTTTTCTCAAATAATGTTTCATAAAAATATATTTTATTTTTGAATGGTTTTTTTTAATAAAGAGAATTATGTTGTGTTGACAGATTTGTTAATATAGATGATTTTAGTGATTTTACTGATAATCAGAAAAAAAAGTAATTACAATCAATTTAAATTCAGTTTGAAATGCAGCAAAGTATTTTGTGTATTGTAAATATTAAATTTAATCTATTAGCTTGAAATTAAAACTAAAATAAAAGCTTCAAGAAAGATTTTTCATTTTTAAAATGCATTTTAAAACTTAGGTATTGTTTTTTTTTGGGGGGGGGCAGCATCTAAAAAGTGTTTTTATGACCCAACACACCCTAAACTTCAGGTTGATATTTTACATCTCTGTCAGGACACACATAGAGAGACTGCCTCAAACATGGTAAGCCTATATTTAATTAAGTTAATGAAGTTTGAAAAAATATTACCAGCAATACATTTTTAAAGCAAAAAATACTACCAGAAATAGATTTTTGACAAAAAATATTACCAGCAATAAAAATTTTGTCGGCATTAAATAACCCATTGAGGTTGATATGCCATAAAACAAACCAAACCAAAATCATCTCTCCCCCTCCTCCCCAGTTGAATTTTTATTAATAACTTTGACTATTTTCAATTTTGTAGGTTTGCATTTTACTATGAATCTAAGGTTCTATAAACAGGTCACAAAATGTGATAAAAAGCAAAAGAAAGATTTTTAAGAAAATTTTTGAAATTAAGAAAGAATAGTGCAATGGAATTTCTAGCAGTTTTTCTTTTCTTTTTTTGTTTATCCACACGAACAAAGCCTTTCCAAAATCAACTCTTATATTTGATGATTTGGCCAGATTTCAGTGTGATCAAATCATCCTCATTTTTTCTGTGTTCCAATTATAAGGAGAAAAGAAACTTTCACTAAGACAGCTTCCCCCCTTCCCAGAATCTTATGCATGTACCTCCTTGAAGAATATAATGTTCAACCCCCACTTCTAGTCAAGGGTCAGTCATTATCTATCCTCCATATCTTCATAATCTCTACCAACTCCTCTTTCATTCATCATTAACATTTTAACAGTAACCCTCTACCTTGAATGACTCTCATGGCTTTTATTGGGTGAATTTTAGTATTAAAAAAAGATGACCACTGTTATATATGCCACTGTTGTCAAAACATAAAGTGTTATTTGATTGAGAGGAATGTTGGAACTTAACTATTGTCAATTTAGAAATTAGTTTCATGCCTTCAGTTGCTATAGCTATTGAAAGATAGTGAACCCTCCCCCCCACAAAAACTAAACATTACAAAAGTATAAAAATACATTTTTATAGTAAAAATATAAGCAATTGATTTTTATATAAGGCAATTAGTAACAATTGAGGGTGCGATGGATAAATTGTCGTCTAAATTACACAAAAATGAAAAATAACAAAGATTTCATTTTAACAGATATACAGGGTGCGATGAATAAATTGTCGTCTATATCAGGCAGAAATGAAAATAACAGTGACATCTCATTTTAACAGATATATTTACCAAAATTGCACAAAAATATCTAGAAATACTAAAGAGTAAATTTATTCAATAAAATTGTCAATGGCTTCAACCACAGCCTCCAGACGAGTTTAGAATCTCCTGCAACTCTTCTGGTTGGTCTCTTTGTTTAAGTTGGTGAATTCTGCCATAATCCTTGCCTTCAGTTCATCTTTGGTGTTACAATGAGTTTTGTTTGTCTCTTGCTCACCTGTACTCTCCACATAAGCAAGGGGGTTGCAGTCTGGGGAGTTTGGTGGCTAGATGTAAAAGGTGACGTGGTCACAGAAATTGTCTCACATCCATGACTAGATTCTCTTGCTTGTGTGACATGGTGCAGAGTCCTGTTGCCAGGCATAGGGTCTTCCAGAGGCCACCCTCTTGACCCGGTGTAACACTTCCTCCTCAAGGCACGATGTAGGCCCCTGTGTTAAATCTAAGGCTCTGTGGGAAGATGAATGGAGGCATAATGTCAGCATCACTAGTGATCACTGCAAACACCATGATGTTGACTGGATATTTGGTTTTCATCACTCTCAGTACATCTTTTGGGGACACAGCAAACCAACGGTTGTTCTGTGTGCTCACCATTTTATCCTGGTAGAGATTTTTCACTTTTGAGAAAAACCAAAGCATGTTCAGTTGGAGGGAATACTTGAGTTTGTTCAAAAGCTTCGTAGCGCTGTCTTTCCTATTGTCCTTCATGGCTTGGGATCAAAATTGGCCCTTTCTCGTCTTGTATGATAAATTCCAAATGTCTTCATGCACTACCTGCTTGATAAGAAACTCAGTACTGTGTCCATGGCTGTGGACCTGATTAACTTGGAGGGATCATTGTCAATCTTGGCCTGGATCTCGCCAACAAATTTGGGAGTTCTTTTCTTATCAGAACGATCAGAGTGAGTTTGCCGAGCTGCCATACCTTTGTAATCACCATTAGATTCATCCAACTCTTTCAAAATCCACTGCACAGTTCATAGATTGACACCCAAACACTGAAATGTTCGTATTAGAGCTTTCAGTGTGAATGCCAAGCAGTACAGCATGGTGTTTCCAAATTTCTGGCAGAGTGAATTGTGTCATAGTGCTCTTTTTCTCACCAACTGACTCTTCTATACTGTGCAGTTGACAAAAAAACAAAACAATGTGTGTACACAAAATTAAAAATATAAAATGGCGACAATTTACCCATCGCACCTTGAATGTATTTAAAGCAAAATGGCCAACAATCCATTTTACCTGTAGTTAAAGGTATACAATAGTGTTCAATATATATTTAGTTGAAGCTATAAAATTGTGTTCAAAATATTTAGAATTTGGCATTAAATGACCCATAGAGGTGTTGATATGCCGCTAAACAAAATCAACCAAACAGTATAGAAATGGTTAATTTCACCATTACACTTACTAAAGAATACATCAATGATGTTAAATGAATGTTTGCCAAACACAAAATTTATAAAATTATAAAAAAACAATTTTTTTTATATTTTCTAGTCATAATAAAATCTTGCCGACTTTGGAAGCAGCTCCAGAGTTTTCAGCATCACATATGTTGCACATTGTCAAATGCGCCAAGTGCAATAGTCAGCAACAGAGAAGAATTCTGCAACCCAGCAAGTAAGCAACACTGAATATTATACTTTTCCAAGAGGACATTTTTCTATTATGTACATAAGGATTTCGAAATCATTTCAAGTAAACATTCTGCTGTATATTCCTTGAATTCTGAATTCTCTTGAATCCATATTCCACATTGCATGAAATTTAAATTCTCTTGAATCCATATTCCACATTCTATGAATCCTTAATTCTCTTTAATCCGTATTATACATTTTTTGAATTCTCTTGAATCCCTACTCCACATTCCTTGAATTCTGAATTCTCTTGAACCCATATTGCACATTGCATGAATTTTAAATTCTTTTGAATCCATACTCCACATTCCTTGAATTCTGAATTCTCTTGAATCCATATTCCACACTCTATGAATCCTTAATTCTCTTTAATCCGTATTATACATTTTTTTAATTCTCTTGAATCCCTAGCCACATTCTTTGAATTCTGAATTCTCTTGAACCCATACTCCATATTCTTTGAATTCTGAATTCTCTTGAACCCATACTCCATATTCTTTGAATTCTGAATTCTCTTGAACCCATACTACATATTCTTTGAATTCTGAATTCTCTTGAACCCATACTCCATATTCTTTGAATTCTGAATTCTCTTGAACCCATACTCCATATTCTTTGAATTATGAATTCTCTTGAACCCATACTCCACATTCTATGAATCCTTATTCTCTTTAATCTGTATTATACATTCTTGGAATTCTGAATTCTCTTGAATCCCTAATCCACATTCCTTGAATTCTGAATTCTCTTGAATCCCTAATCCACATTCCTTGAATTCTGAATTCTCTTGAATCCTTACTCCACATTCCTTGAATTCTGAATTCTCTTGAACCCATACTCCATATTCTTTGAATTCTGAATTCTCTTGAACCCATACTCCACATTCTTTGAATTCTGAATTCTCTTGAACCCATACTCCATATTCTTTGAATTCTGAATTCTCTTGAACCCATACTCCATATTCTTTGAATTCTGAATTCTCTTGAACCCATACTCCATATTCTTTGAATTCTGAATTCTCTTGAACCCATACTCCATATTCTTTGAATTCTGAATTCTCTTGAACCCATACTCCATATTCTTTGAATTCTGAATTCTCTTGAACCCATACTCCATATTCTTTGAATTCTGAATTCTCTTGAACCCATACTCCATATTCTTTGAATTCTGAATTCTCTTGAACCCATACTCCACATTCTTTGAATTCTGAATTCTCTTGAACCCATACTCCATATTCTTTGAATTCTGAATTCTCTTGAACCCATACTCCATATTCTTTGAATCCTTATTCTCTTTAATCTGTATTATACATTCTTGGAATTCTGAATTCTCTTGAATCCCTAATCCACATTCCTTGAATTCTGAATTCTTCTGAATCCTTACTCCTCATTCTTTGAATTCTGAATTCTCTTGAACCCATACTCCACATTCTTTGAATTCTGAATTCTCTTGAACCCATACTCCACATTCTATGAATCCTTATTCTCTTTAATCTGTATTATACATTCTTGGAATTCTGAATTCTCTTGAATCCCTAATCCACATTCCTTGAATTCTGAATTCTCTTGAATCCTTACTCCACATTCCTTGAATTCTGAATTCTTCTGAATCCTTACTCCTCATTCTTTGAATTCTGAATTCTCTTGAACCCATACTCCACATTCTTTGAATTCTGAATTCTCTTGAACCCATACTCCACATGCTTTGAATTCTTTCTCTTGAACCCATACTCCATATTCTTTGAATTCTGAATTCTTTGAACCCATACTCCATATTCTTTGAATTCTGAATTCTCTTGAACCCATATCCATATTCTTTTGAATTCTGAATTCTCTTGAACCCATACTCCATATTCTTTTGAATTCTGAATTCTCTTGAACCCATACTATATTCTTTTGAATTCTGAATTCTCTTGAACCCATACTCCACATTCTATGAATCCTTATTCTCTTTAATCTGTATTATACATTCTTGAATTCTGAATTCTCTTGAATCCCTAATCCACATTCCTTGAATTCTGAATTCTCTTGAATCCTTACTCCACATTCCTTGAATTCTGAATTCTTCTGAATCCTTACTCCTCATTCTTTGAATTCTGAATTCTCTTGAACCCATACTCCACATTCTTTGAATTCTGAATTCTCTTGAACCCATACTCCACATTCTTTGAATTCTGAATTCTCTTGAACCCATACTCCATATTCTTTGAATTCTGAATTCTCTTGAACCCATACTCCATATTCTTTGAATTCTGAATTCTCAACCCATACTCCATATGCTTTGAATTCTGAATTCTCTTGAACCCATACTCCATATTCTTTGAATTCTGAATTCTCTTGAACCCATACTCCATATTCTTTGAATTCTGAATTCTCTTGAACCCATACTCCATATTCTTTGAATTCTGAATTCTCTTGAACCCATACTCCATATTCTTTGAATTCTGAATTCTCTTGAACCCATACTCCATATTCTTTGAATTCTGAATTCTCTTGAACCCATACTCCACATTCTATGAATCCTTATTCTCTTTAATCTGTATTATACATTCTTGGAATTCTGAATTCTCTTGAATCCCTAATCCACATTCCTTGAATTCTGAATTCTCTTGAATCCTTACTCCACATTCCTTGAATTCTGAATTCTTCTGAATCCTTACTCCTCATTCTTTGAATTCTGAATTCTCTTGAACCCATACTCCACATTCTTTGAATTCAATTCTCTGAACCCATACTCCACATTCTTTTGAATTCTGAATTCTCTTGAACCCATACTCCATATTCTTTGAATTCTGAATTTCTGAACCCATACTCCATATTCTTTGAATTCTGAATTCTCTTGAACCCATACTCCATATTCTTTGAATTCTGAATTCTCTTGAACCCATACTCCATATTCTTTGAATTCTGAATTCTCTTGAACCCATACTCCATATTCTTTGAATTCTGAATTCTCTTGAACCCATACTCCATATTCTTTGAATTCTGAATTCTTTGAAACCATACTCCACATTCTATGAATCCTTATTCTTTTAATCTGTATTATACATTCTTGGAATTCTGAATTCTCTTGAATCCTAATCCACATTCCTTGAATTCTGAATTCTCTTGAATCCTTACTCCACATTCCTTGAATTCTGAATTCTTCTGAATCCTTACTCCTCATTCTTTGAATTCTGAATTCTCTTGAACCCATACTCCACATTCTTTGAATTCTGAATTCTCTTGAACCCATACTCCATATTCTTTGAATTCTGAATTCTCTTGAACCCATACTACACATTTTATGAATCCTTAATTCTCTTGAACCCATACTCCACATTCTTTGAATTCTGAATTCTTTGAACCCATACTCCATATTCTTTTGAATTCTGAATTCTCTTGAACCCATACTACACATTTTATGAATCCTTAATTCTCTTGAACCCATACTCCATATTCTTTGAATTCTGAATTCTCTTGAACCCATACTCCATATTCTTTGAATTCTGAATTCTCTTGAACCCATACTACACATTTTATGAATCCTTAATTCTCTTGAACCCATACTCCATATTCTTTGAATTCTGAATTCTCTTGAACCCATACTCCATATTCTTTGAATTCTGAATTCTCTTGAACCCATACTCCATATTCTTTGAATTCTGAATTCTATTAAATGTATATTCTGCATTCCATGTATTTCGTATTCTGTTGAATCTGTATTCTATATTCTTTGAATTCAGAATTCTTTTGAATGTGTACTCTGAATTCTGTTTTTACTAAGTTTTATAGACAGTCCCTCCAGGAATTGCTCTGTACACTCGACAGGAGATACTAGCAATTGACTATTTTCTCATTTTTGTCATATTTATATTGAGTTAAAAGATATTTTATGCACTTTTCATTAGTGCAAAGTTGATTTTTTTATTGTGTGACTGCATGTGTGTGTGTGTATATGTGTAAAATGTGGTGGTTATTTCTCCCTATCATTGTTTTTCTTGTTTTTTTAAAAAACTCACTCCTTATTGGTTTTTATACCTTTTTCTCTCTTTCAACTTTGAGTCAGAGTCAAATGTAGCAATCCAGCATCAAGTTTGGCAGACAGTCTCTGCTCTTAGGAATTCTCAAATGTTTTAGGGCTTTCTTGAGTTTGCAAAATGTAGGTGCACTTCATTATTTACTGAAATAATTTTTAGTTTCAATTGTTAGATAAATATTTATGTATGTCATTACTTTCCCATTATTTTATTTTTCTTATTTGATTTGGTGGTATTTTAAGTATTAGGGTATTAATTATAGGAGGTTATGTTTATAATTAAATTTTATTTATTGTTGTTTGAATATGTATGCATATATTTACATTCACACACACACACACACACACACACACACACACACATGTATGTACATACATACACATGAAAATGCATGTACATATCAAATAAATAGGAAACATTTATTAATTTAACATGATTTCCTGTTTCTTTGCTCCTGATTTTATCATTCCTTTGGATTCCAATTCATATTTGATCTATACTTGATCCCAATTCATATATATATATATATATATATATATATATATATATATATATATATGCACACTACAGTTCAAAAGTATGACGCCACTCCTTGTAATTTTTTAAATTGGCCTAAAAGTAGATTTTTGTAATCTAAATAATAGAAAATTATTATACATAGTTAAAAAAAAATATGACATGATTTTTTGTCAGATATTTTATTATGACAAAAAAGAAAAAAAGCATTTTATGATTAAATTTTGCTCTCATCAAAATATCCTCCTTTAGTCTTGATTACTGCAGCACAAATTTTTGGCATTTGTTGCAAAAGTTTCTCAAAGTATAAGTTTGATATTTGATTCCATTCTTTTTTCAATGACTCTAGGACATTTTTTTCATTTTTTTTTCACTTTTCTGTCAAGTTCATCCCATGCTAATTCTGGGGGTCACTTCAAACTTTGGAACTGTAGTGTATGTGTGTTATAATTAAAAAAAAAAAAAATTCTGAAATTATGGAATTCATTGATTACAGAGACAATGATTGCTCACTTTGAACATGCCTTGTATTATCATAACAATAGCTTTCTTGTTATTCAGTCAAGGGATAACAGCGCCAATGGGTGAGTCTATTTTTATGGACAGAAAACAGTAGTTACAATATAGAGATGAATTTATTAAAAACTGAGGAATCACTATGTAGCATTTGAGATCATATAAAAACAATGTAGAGAATTATATTAAAATGTTTATTGCAGTTAATGTTTTATTTGAGTGCTACTTTTTTTGTACATGACAGAAATAAAGTGATGTCTCTCCAAATTTCTTTTCTCAGGTTTAGTGACTCTCTTCTTGTACACTTTCTAAAAGGAGTTCCGTTTGCTAACATTTCACATCTGGATTTTAGTATTGAGAAAGAACGCTACAAAGTCACAGGCCTAGTCCAATACACCCACAACCCTGATCACTTTGTGGCTTGGGTTAAATATACAGGTAAGTAAAAACAACTCTACCTCTTCTCAATAATGGTATCCCATTGTATATTCATTAAATATATTTGAGGAGATGCTGAAAAATTTCTTGGCCCAACCTACTTCCCTAAACTGATCAAATGAGCAAACCTTTCTTTTTTGGTGTGTGTGTGGCGACAGTGGAGTAATGGATAGGAACTCGGATTGAGAAATCGGAGTGCCGAGTTTGAATTCCAGTCAAATCCATTACGTTCACTTACTTGCTTATACCCTTGGGAAAGATATGAATCCTCTTCTTCTCCCCACACCTATTTATGGGTAAATAGCAGAACAGACCGGGTTCTATAGCTGTGGATGGCAACTGGTCTACCGCAGAGAGAAATGGAAACCTTACTGCAGGAGAAATCTGCCTCGTCAGTCATGTATCGAAAGATATCAGGCAAACGTCATACCAACTGTTCCAATGAGCCCATTGGAACAGTTGGTATGACGTTTGCCTTTCCGGGTTTCAATTCTTGGTAGTGGATGCGCACTGCTGATGAGTCCCAAATATAAGACGAAACAACCTTCTGCATTCTGTTGAGGTTTCTTCTAGACTCGATGAATTACTTATCTTACTTATTATAAAACACAGATTGTGTGTGTCTGTACGTTTATATATTGGATTGGGTTTCCTACATTTTTCAACTGATTTCAACAAAACTTCACAGGACTACGTAAAATTATCTTGCGGTGGTTCTGACAGCACCAAAAATTGGAAAAACACAATTGTTTTTGTACGAAATCAATTTGAAAACATAATAAAACACGATACTGTCGCCAGAATGAAAGGGGGACAACTCATATCGAGTTATACTTATTATAAAACCCAGGTTGGTTGTGTGTATGTGTATTCGTTTATATATGGGATCAGATTTCCTACATTTTTCAACCGATTTCAACAAAACTTTACTTTTTTTTGGCAGGTAGTGTTTCTTATTGTCTTGCACACTTTTTTCTTTATTTTTACATTCAGAATGCTTTAAAAATTCCATTTACAAGACAATTGTTTATAATAAATTCTATTCAATCGGTAGACTCATAACAATTGAAAACAATGTTTTTGTTTGAGTTTGGGTTTGACCAATTCGTAAAAAAAACAAAAAAACTAATTAAGACATGCGTGTCTGTCAACCTTAAACAATAATCTTTGCCAATTTTATTTTTCAGTCTTTATGATGGTTGATACTTGATCTATCTCTTACTGTTACATCCCCAGGCAATGCCGGGCTCTACTGCTAGTATATATATATATATATATATATATATATATATATATATAATTAAAAAAAACTTATTCAAATGTTCTTGATAGTAATTAATATAGAAAGGCTAATGTTAAAACTTTTGATTTTTGTTCAATCTAGGTACATCCAAAAATTTCTATTTCAGTCAGTTAAGTGCCATTTGTGATACACACTTGAGCGATTATGTCTCTTTCAATTCATGACTGACTAGGCAGAAGATTCTCCCGCAATTGGTTCCTGTTTTCTTCTGTGGTAGATTGGTTGCCAACCAAGGCTATAGGACACAGTCTATCCTTCTGTTCAATCTATAGCTGGGGGGTATGGATTCATACATTTCCCAAGGGTATTTGAGCATAAGTGAATATAATGAACTTAATTGGAATTTAAACATGGCTGTTTAAAAGCTTTGTTTTTGTCATATAGGAAAATCCAACAAGGCGCGTAAACGAAATATTCGGCAAAAATCTCATTCATCAGTAACATTTTAAACACCTCATAGAATGTAAATTTCTTAAAGAAAACCTATGCCAAACTGTTTTCCTGAATCCTTGATGACTTGGCTGTCTGAAAATGATAACATCAAGATGAAATAATGGAAACTGACCGTGAAAAATACAATTATGTGCAACAGGTTTTCGATCAATTAGTAAACTTCTGGACCTTTTAGGGCGATGTTATAGGATCCAGACGGCTATTGTTTGCACATGGAATTATTCAATGGTAATTAATCTTCGATTTGGCTGTGGAAAATGTCACTCGGTGGTTAGCATTAAGAAATTATGCCCAATTTCCTGAGAAAAATCCCCTTTTTTTATGAAAAATATTTATTTTTGCTTCAAAATAACATCATTCAAAGTTCATTCCTTTCTCTTTCATTTGGCATGAACATCATTGAATAAAAAGAACGGCTAAATGGCCCGGCGATGGGAAATACGAAAGATATGCGGCGAAAAAAACAATGTTGTCTGCTAAGTGTTGTTGTCATCACCCAGGTCACGGGGTGTTAAAAACAAAACAAAACTCATCAAGCCATTGTTCAAACATAGGTTATATCAAGCCCTAGTAATGTTGAACCCTTTTTTTTCATTCTTTGCTTTTATCTGGGAGTGGTGGGTTTTATTACAACTTGTTCTAAGGTTTACCATTTATTGCTGGCTGGCTGACCTTTGACCTAGATGTCAAAGTCAATTAGGTTTAATTTTCCTTATCGCTATTTTTTGGAAAAAAAAAACTTTTGGTTTCTGGTGGTTAGGAATTGCAGATAAATCCTTTGCCTTTTACTAAAGATTTCCGTGGCCGGGTGTCAATTATTTTTGACCCTGGGCAGTCATATAATTGAAAATTAACAATGGATTTTGTCGCATTTTGAACACCTAGGAATGTTGATTTCCTTCAAAACTCTCAATTTTATGCCTGAAATAGTTTGATTATGATTTAGGCTTTTGATTTTCAAAAAAAAAATGGTTAATTTCCCATTAATGGGGGAAATATTTGTTTAGAACAAGAAAAAAATGCAAAATTTTCACTATTTTTTCACATTTTACCCACTGAAAAAAAATTTTGAGTCATTTACACCAGCCAATTTTACTTTTAAATGAAAGAATATATCCTTTGCTTTCAGAAAATACCTAGTTTCATGGGGTTCAGATCAAAAGTTTCCTTGATATTAGTTTAGGTGATGATAAAACAGTCATTTTTCAATATTTTACCCCTATAAAAGTATGAAAATCCATTTTTTGAGAGAAAATAAGCTGTGACAAAATGACTTTTGCCATTTTTGTGATGATTTTCACTTGGGAAAGAAAATTTTTACCATAGGAAACCTGAATTGACTTTATTTAAGTTCAGTGGGGCTATAGGAAACCTTAAACAGTTGTGCAAACTCACCTTTCCATTATCCATAACTCTACTCTGTATATCACAATAAAATATTAGATTGTTTAAAATATTTTCTTCAGTTTTTAAGATTATTGAGTAGTTAAAAACATAAAAAAGGCATTCACATTGTATTCATCAAGTAATTTCTTTCAGTTTTGTCCCCCTAGTTTAAATTACACAAACATTAGTCTGTCAATAAATCACTCAACACATCAAAAATCATCTCCTCCCTGTTAAAAAAAACATACTTTTCCGTGATATTTGAAACTAATATTAAGTAATGTTTGTTTCAATTCAAATTAATTAAACTGTAAATCAGCTAATTTTCACATTTCAGAAAAGTTTATTTTATTTTTTAAAAATTTTTTATTAAATAGAATTACTTTGTGTTGACAGATTTGTCAAAATGGACGAACTTTTAGGTTTTTTTTTTTTTTTTTGAGGAGAAAAAAATTCCAATCACTTTAAATTTAAGTTTTAAGTACAGCAAAATATTTTGCTCATTAGAAATATTAAATTTAATTTATTACCTTGGAATTTAAACTTCAAGAAAGATTTTTCAATTTTAAAAATTCATTTTAATCCTTAAGTATTGCTTGGGGCGGGGTGGACCAAAATAAATCTTCTATATTTGGTTCTGTATAAAAAACAAAAAAAAATCCCACATCAAAACAAAAGTGACTTTTATTTGAAATAACCTGACAATAGTTGATATATCATAAATTTAAACAAACAAACCAACCAACATGCGCAACTAAGTCCATAAAACTTTGATGGGTTTTCTGCTGATTTAATGACATTAGTTTTTCTTTATTTCCAGAAAAAAAATGGGTTCGCTGTGATGACTTACAAAATCCTGTCTGCACATTCATGGTTGAAAAGCCCCCTGTGCCACCTGAGGAAGTTCACCTGGTTATGTGGGAAAAAGTGTCCACTTCCCGGACATCTTGTCCACCTCCATTGTCCACTCAGCCAAAGGAGCCTCCCACAACGATCAAGGCATGTCTTCCTGTTTCGTCTGTTACAAAAGACACCTCTTCTGCAAACATCAAGCCATGCCTACCTACTGTATCTGCACCAAGGGAGACACTGCCAACTTTAAACCTGTGTCCTCCTAACGTGCCCCCAATGAGGGAGACGCCCGCCGACCCCATGTCAATGCAATTGAATCCAGGCATTCCTGAGATGATGTCCATTCAAAGGGAGACCCCCATGTACCCACCAGGTATCCCTGAGTCTGCCCCAACACCACTGACTTTTGCAGGCAGATTGAAACGGCCAACACCCATGTCTATCCCACAGACTATTCCTCCAGTATCACCGATGCCACCCATGTTACCTGTCACCCACCCAAACTGTGAGAACTTTCCACAGGGTACCACCATTCCACGTACAGGTTCCAATCCCCGGACCAAAATACTTCCTGTAAACCTCCAGAGTGAAAACCGTATGGATCGACTGAAAGCTAACTTGGCCCTCATAAAGAAATTTAAAAGATGATGTGGATTTGGTGGCCAGGATAATGGCTGACTCTTGCTGAAATTTGAGGGTTGGGTGGATGGGGGCTGGGGTTTTCAAAAGGTGGAATTGGGATGTGGTGGGTGGTCATTGCAAATTGTCTTTCAGTCTGGCCTATACAAAGCATTCTGTGGTAAAGCATTCTTCTGGACTGTTGGAAAACATTAAAATGTTCTCTCTTTAATTGAGGGAGTTTTTAAAAAAAATATTTAACGAAAAAAGACAATGAACAACAAAAAAATGTGAAATATGGCAAAGCCTTCTTCTGGCCTGTTGTAAAAATCAAAATTTCTCTCTATAAGTGAGGGGAGTTTTAAATATATATATATATATATATATATATATATATATATATATATATATATATATAAAAAATATAATAATAATAAAATAAACAAAAAAAATGAAATATAAAAACAAAAAATCCTAAAAATGGGCAATGTTTTGAGAGAAGCAAGGGAGAGAACTTCAAAGGCGTCTGTAACTGGATCTTAAGCACTGTCTACACTTAAGATATATATATATATATATATATATATATATATATATATATATGGACGAATAGAATATAATTATAGGCAACAAACCCAATGGGTTATGTTGTGTTAAAAATATTCTTTCAGGTTTCAAATACATCTATGAATGTTTTGTTGATGGAGTGTTATCTCCCTTGAGTTCCTGAATCCAAAGTACTACTTGATCTTTATTTGTCAGAAGTGGAACAGATGGACAAAACACAATTTGCTTAAGATGGCACTACCCTATGGGTTGTGTCATGCGAAGAGAGAAAGAAAACTGGACGGTGAGATTTCAAAGAAACATATTTAGTTAACAACGTGAACAAATTGACAAATGGTCAAAATCTATAGTTTTGTGTCAGGTTGGGCAACCTGAGATCTTTTTTTTCTCTTGCAGTAAAATTATTTGCTTACAATTCAGATCTTCAAATTGAATCTTTGTGTTTTTGTCGTGTAATATAAAGAAATTATGTTGTCATAAAGGGTATGTAAAAATGACACGCAATTCCCAATAGCATTTTGTGGTTTTTGCCTGTGTCAAATTGTCTCAAATTTTGTCATCAACCATTCCTTGTTCTCTACAATTGTGCTGTGTTTTTTTTTTTAGCCTTATTCCAGACGAGACACTGCCTAAATAAATATGTATATATTTTAGGCTAATATAAGCAATTTCACTATATATATTAAAGAAATTCACTTCCATATAATAGTCATCGACAGCAAAACAAGCAATCTAACTCTGTATATTAAGGTTAAGAAATTGGCTTGGTGAATGTGAAAAAGGTTTGAGAAATTAGCGCGGCGAGGTGAAGAAGGGTCGAGAAATTAGCGCGGCGAAGGTGAAGAAGGGTCGAGAAATTAGTGCGGCGAAGGTGATGAAGGGTCGAGAAATTAGCGCGGCGAAGGTGATGAAGGGTCGAGAAATTAGCGCGTCGAAGGTGAAGAAGGGTCGAGAAATTAGCGCGGCGAAGGTGATGAAGGGTCGAGAAATTAGCGCGTCGAAGGTGATGAAGGGTCGAGAAATTAGCGCGGCGAAGGTGATGAAGGGTCGAGAAATTAGCGCTGTCAAGGTGATGAAGGGTCGAGAAATTAGCGTATGAAGTGATGAAGGGTAGAGAAATTAGCGGCGACAGTGAAGAAATTAGCATGGGAAAGGTTAAATAAAGGGTTCAATTAAAAATTTGATAGGCACATGAAGAAGCCTGGATGACTGAACATTGTGACAATAACAACAAAGATAAGGATATTTGTCAGAATGTAGATAATGTAGATCTTTTTTTAAGTCTTTAACCTCAAGATTTTAGAGTATCAGTTTCAAGAATGTTGAGAATTTCTCATTTTTATTTTGTATGTAAGTAATTATGATTTCTGTGTGATATCATTATGAGTCAAGTATCTGGCATCTCAACAGCTATAGTTATGAACATTATAAAATCTATCAGCCGTTGTTTCTTTTCCTAAATTTGGTCTAATTTTAATATCCTGCTTTATGAAGTGAGTGGCATCTGTTTCTTTTTTTAGTATCCATTTTTTAAAAATAAATTTTTAAATTTCTGTCTAAATTTCTAGGATAAGGAGTTATCATTAGTTATGTTTGGACTAATATCCTCATCTTTGTTGTTACTATCATAAAATTTCTACTATTTTGTTCCCCAGATTTTTTCATGTGTCTGTCAGTCTGGTTAAATTTCAGGCAATCTTGAAATGAATTGTTTGTATTTAATTTGCACAGCAGCAGCAGCAGCAGTGGAAGCAGGCAGGCAATAAGAACATAAGGTTTAAGGCTCCAAGTTCTAGATCAGGGGTCGGCAACTCATTCAACACCATGGGCTGGATAGTGTTATAATGACGGGTCGCGGGCCGGACGAAGGCCATTAATGAAAAATGAAGGAAAATTACATATGCAGACCCCTGTTAACTTACATATTTAAAATCATAATGTAAATAAACATTGAGAAATCAGAAAAACAAAAGAAAATCTAAAATTAAAAAAAAAACACCTAACAAAAATTACTTTTCCTCAAGGAACGTCAAAATACTTCAAAGTGAAAAAAAATCAACCGAAGTGAAATGGATGAAATTATGACGTGTAGGTTTGAAACTGTTATTGAAAATTGTTGCACAAACGAACTACACACACACACACACACACACACATCAAACAAAGATGAAGCACATATACCCATACATACGAGTACAAATCGTTGCAAACATATACACTTACGTACGTATACATGTGGTATCATCCACACATTCATGAGGCATGTATGTATAATGTGCATATGTTTAACTGTCTTTAGATTTCTTCTACCTCGCATGTCAGTCCCTCCCTGGCCTCGTTCACTTTATCGTTCCTTTCGCTTCTGTTGTCTTTTAATGTAGCCAAGGGTCATAACAAATATGTATCCATTATTTGACATTAAACGTAGGCAACGCAACTTGGTAAAATAAGTCTCATGAAAGATAACTGGCAGATGTTCTAATATTTTTAGTGCACTGAGATGTGTAGACATTTTATGGAAAATGACATATAACAAATTTCATTTGAAGGTCGTGTGAAAAATAGTCATCAGGCTCGTGGGCCAGTCAAAATGCTGGGGCGTAGGTTGCCGACCCTTGTTCTAGATTCAGGATTGTCCCACAGGACAATAGCCTGATGGATTAAACTGCTGGTTTGTGAGTTTGGTGACATAGTAATGGTGAGTTCAATCCCTGGGCCAGGTAGTGGAAACAAGGTGAAAAATAACTGAGCAGTATTAAAAAAGAACAAGACAGGATATATGTAAACATAGAAGAACAAAAACAGTCTAATTGTATATATTAAAGGGTTCAGTTCAAAATTTGACAGATACCAGAAGAAGGCTGGATGGTAGAACATTGTGATAATAACAATAAAGATAAGGATATTAGTCCAAATGTAAATAATGTAGATTTTTTTTAAAGTCTTTAAGCTGCAAGATTTTAGAAGACCCGTTTCAAGAATAAATGCTGAGAATTTCTGGTTATTTTGTACATATCAGTATTTTAATATATTTTCTGTTTATACATTATTTTTATAGATAAAAATGTTTAAGTAAATGCTCTGTTTATAATAAACAGTATTAACAACATTTACAGGCCTGAATTTCCAATAAATTTCATAGAAAATATGTGTCCTCTCCCAGGAATCGAACATGTATCCTACAAGGAACAGTCATATAGCCTGATGTGCTATATCATTTAGCTTACTCTGTAGTTAAATGGTATAGTACTTTAGCATAAATACCAAGTTGAGAACTGATGCCATCAGGAAAGTGATTGATGGAAATTAAGAACAAAGTAGTTCCAAGGATAGATCCCTGGGGAACACCTGCATTAGTACAAAAGGATCTAGAAGAGTGGCCATTCAGGATAACTTTCATTTTGGGATTTAATAAGAAAGATTGAATTAGATCAAAAATTTGTTCAGAAGTGCCATAACCTTTCAACTTGTTAAGAAGACCTGTATTCCAAACTCTGTCAAATGCTTTCCAGATGTCCAAAGCAACAGCCCAAGCTTCCACCATTCTTATATAAACCTTGAGAAGCTCTTTCAGCAATAACCATTATTGCATTAGCAGTTGATCTAGAGAAGTGAAAGCCATATTGCTGTCTGAAATATGAAATGCTTAATCAATTCAGAGTTGCTTTTTCTAGATTTTGTCTAATTTTATTATCCTACTCTATGAAGTGAGGACGTAGGTCATCTCAGCTATATTGAACAGAACTGGTTACATATGGACTAATATCCTCTTCTTTATTGTAAAAATACAAAAACAGTTTTAATTTGTGATGGTATAAAATTTTTTTTGAGGGGACAATTATTGTTTTTCAGATTTGTTCCAGGACAATGGTGAGAAAAGGTCAGTCTGGAACCCTCATTGTCATGCAAATATCTGCCTTATATAATTAGTTGCAATATTACTTAATTAACATGCATCCGGGATGGGTCCATAGAGCTGTGATTTAGTTGGATGTTGTCTTGAAGAGATGCTAGGTATAACTCTCAGCATCCGAGTGTAGGTTCCATCAAGCTCAAACTCTATAGTTTTAGTTTATACCCAAGCAGCGGCACCATACATTAACACCAACTCCACTGTGGCTCGTAAGAATTTACACAGATTTCCAGGTTGTGTCCATTTTATTCAAGGCAGCCAAGGCTTTAGCTATGTAAATTTTCACATCATTTTTAGTAGAATTTATTTCTCTTCCTAGATATGTAAAAGATTCAACAGATTTTATTGATCCATCTGCTACAGTTTGTATTGAGCCTTGCTGGTTGAAACCAATGAATTCAGAGTCATTGACATAGAGTCCAACATCATTAGCAGCATTTTTCAGATGATGTAGGAGAACTGTGGCATGGGTAATGATGTCTGCAGTGATAACTAGGTTATCTGCAGGGTCAATATCGATCAACTGTTTTGCAGGATATCAACTTGAGAG